AGTATAATAATCCTTCTATGTCTTTATTTCTTCTGACCATCATCTAATTGATAATTTCGAATTATTTAGAATTAAGACTACCATCCAGCTCTCCTGGCTCCACAAGGAGTCTAACTGCTTCAAGAAGCAAACTGCTCCCAGCCTTTCCCGTAGTGAGCTGTGTGAGGTGGGATAATTCACTGACCCTCTCTGATCTTAGTCTCCTCATCTGTCAGGTTGGAGCAGGATGATCACTGAGGGTCCTTCCAGGCTTACAGTCCTATGGAAACTTAGGAAAATTCTTTATTAGTGCTAATACTGCAAATCCAGATCTCAATCTTTTATAAAGAGCTGAATATGAATTTGTCTTATATTTAGAATTTAAACATATGAACTAGGAAAGTTTGAAAATAATTCTGTAAAATGATATAACTTTCACCTAAAGTATTGCCTTTATTCTGTGGCCTTAATCCAAAATGCATGGAAGACTGGCAGTTTGTGGCACGGGTTAAAAAGGAGCATGTTGGCCTATGTGGTCGAAGATTTGACTCTCCTGGCAACACCTACATCAAATCTGTTTAATCTGAGAAAGTGAGAATGAGATTAGGCAGATAGTTGAGAAGTTAGCAGGAAGAGTGTGAGATGCTGTGTGAAAATCTAAAGGATTTCTAGCTGTTAAACTTGTTCAATCCTGACAAAAAGTACCAGTCACTCTGTAAGGATCAAGAGAGAAAAGAGATTTCCAAGATGAGTGAACGTGAGAAAAAAAATTTTAAATTCGGAGCAGCAGAGGGGAGAGTAGTGATAGTGCACGGATGTGTAGAGAACTGTAAGTATGACTAGGAGACCTTCTCTCCCCTCATTCGGCTACATCCAGTGCGGGACTTCCACTCTGCTAACCAAGGACGCTGTTACTAATGCCTCTGGTGTGAAGGGGCTGAATCAAGTGAAAAGCCACTGATTTAAAAGATGTAAATTGTCTACTGAATTACCTTTTAAATATTATTCATACTTGAAAAATTGATCCCTATTGAAGTAGCAGATTGATTTTGCAAAATGGGTTTTAGATTTTTTTTTTTCACTGTTGTTAAAAACTGTAGGAAATTTTCTTTTTTTACTGTGGTTATGTGTGTGGACATATCTTCGTTTGCAACATATTTCTTTACTCTCTGAAACTATGTTTCATCAACCTTTCCTTTCCATCGAAGTGCAGAGTGGGGAGAAACAGTGGCATGGCAAGACAGTTTTGCTCCTGAATTCCTGTTAGAATTTAGGCAACTGGGTTCACTCTTTTTTCTCCCTTTCCTCTTCTGTAACCCCTTCTTTTTTTCCCTTAGCACTCATGAATAGTGCACAGCAAAATGCCCCGTGGAAGAGGTATGTTTGTAATAATAACATGATGGCTTTTAAAAGTGCTGTGTCTGCTGATTCTGCTTTAGTGATGGTGGTAATGTGATTGTAGCACACTCGGTGAGCCTCTAACTTAATGAAACCTTACAAATCAGCTGTGCCACTCAGAGCTAAAGCCTCTCTGTCTTCTTTTATTCTGATAGATAAAATGCACCTTGACTTGGCTTAACTCTTGATAAAAATGTACCAGTCAAGCCAGAACATCCTCCAACTCAAGATCCGGGGGTTTGGGTTTCAGATGTTGAGTTTGCTTTGCTAACCTCACGTAGGTTCCGCTGCCACCGCTCCAGCCCCAGCCTAACTTCTATCCCCACCTGCCATCTCCACCCCAGCCTGCCCAGTCTTGGCAGTCTCCTTGTTCAGAGAGAGCCAGAAGTTAATAGGAAGAAGAAAGAGAAAATTCATACCTTCAACCTTTCTGAATCAGAAGAATTGATAGAGTGTTGGAGAGAAACGAAGGTAGAAATAGTTTATATCTAAAACAAACTCCCCTTTGTCCACAAATCTTTACAGCATAGTATTTGAAGACTTTTTACAAGATATCCTTAGAATGTGCTCCTTAAAAATAGGGATACTTTTCTGCATTACACTTATATGTAAATATGTGACCCCATATGTGACGTATTAAGACATAATTTTAAAATAAATTATGTCTGATTGTTGTCTGATTAAGACATAATTTTAAAATAAAATTTGGAAAAAATTTAAACCATCTAGATTTTTGAGTTCGAGGTTTAAGGGAAAAGTTAGTGCTGAATGTACAATAATACTGTCTGCTAGAAACATGTTTATAAAAGAGATTTGAATACTTTTTGCATTTATTATTATACTCTCTTAATTTAAGCAATGAAACAACTTAAAGCTTGTAAAACTCCAGGAAAATTAAAAAGTAGATGAAAATTTGACCACATCCACTCTCTTTACAGTAGAGTTATAAACAAACATTACAAAAGTAGAGTCACATGGATTAGAAGAGATACTTAAAAAATTTTTTTCTGCCCATTGTTAATTCATGTCATCATAATGCTTTCACCATACATTTTCTATTTAATAGCTGTCTTCTTTTCTCTGTTCATTCTTCAGCTTATTTTCAGAACCACAGAATGTGCTTTGGGGAGTTTTTGAAATCTGTCTTTTTTCATGCAATTCAAATATATCCCTGTAATTAACTTTAGGCCATATGAAAAGATCCTTTTGATTTGCTTTTCTACTTAAGGGTGTTAAAATTCATACATTCTATCTGATGTCAAGTATAAGCTAACTTTTTCGAATAGTATATCATATAAAAATTTAAACCTCTATTGAATGTACTAATTTTGTACTATATCAGTTTATTTTTTCTTTTATAGCTTCTCGGACTTCTATTCAGAGTGAGCTTCATCGAGATAGGAGGTATGATTCTGTTTATAATAGAAGACATATATTCTGATAATTGTGAAGTAAAATTGTGTCATCAGTTAGCAAGTTAAATATTTCTCTCATAAGCAGTGTATTACAGTGTCCTGCCTCACTGATACGTTTTATGAATTTGTCTTTAAGTTTAAATGATGAAGATTTTGCTTGAGAGAAGCAGCAGCACAAGCTTGATAATGCCCTTTTGACAGTAATTATTTATTGCACTCAATTTTCAAATGTTTACTGAGCAATTGCTATATGGAAAGCATTGTTGTGGTTGCTGCAGAGAAATGCTTTGGACCTCACAGCTACTTAGTAAATGTCATATGGATGTAAGAACTGATGACAGGATAGAAAATTGGATAAAGAAAGGAAAAGAGTCAGGCAGGCTATACGGATAGCTGAACCAATAAAAATGGCTAGATGTCTGGTTAGAGGGAAGGACGGAGGGGACCGGGGGGAGCGAGTCATTGGATAGATAGAAGGAGGGACCAATAGACAGACAGATGGCAGAATGGATGCAAAGGTGAACAGGTCGATAAATAGGATAGATTTCTAGAAGACATGGTCCCTGCTCTCAAATTTCTTATACAGTAGTGAAGAACAAGGACTTTTGGAGTCAGACATAACCAAGTTCAAATCCCAGCCTCACTTTCTCACCACGTGACCTTGGACAAACTCCTTAACCTTTCTTAGCCTCTATATTCCTATCTTTGAAATAGTACATATCATACCTTGTACGATTGTCCTTAAGGGTTAATGTGTATATAGTGGTTAACATTTATTAACTAGTATTGCATTATTTAGTTAGATAAAAGCTATATAAAAATTGGAATGCCTCACTTGGATTCCAGAGACTGAAAGTAAATTCAATGTGGCACACTTAGCACAGTGTTTTAAGAGGGGATTGGCTAAATGCAATTTGTGAAACAATTTTTCTAACTCTGAATATAATACACGCTCATTACAGAAAATATCAGACAACCAAGAAAAACATAAAGAATAAAACAGCTTATTCACCCTCCTATGTAAAGACAGCAACAATTAATAACTTTGAATAGTACATTTCAGATTATGAAGATAGGTAACTAGATTCTGTACATACATCTCAGAACCCTGCTTCTCCCTGTAATTAGACCTTATAATTGTATTTCCCTTTGTCAGTGCAGTTTCTTCTAATATATGACTTTGAGTGCTTAAATAATATTTGTGATATGATCCTATAACTTTGTTTAATCATTTTTCTCATGCCAAAAGTATGTATTCTTTTTTTTTAAATAGACTTTATTCTTTTAGAGTAATTTCAGGTTCACAACAGAATTGAGCTAAAAATACAGAGTTCGCACATAGCCCTCCCCACCCACACACATATACTCCTTTGTGCTAATAAATAATTCTTGTTATTTAGCCTTTAGACAGCCATAAGCAGAGGTTCTTAGGTAATACAATTCAAATGTAATCAATGGGCAGGTTCTGCTGTTTCACAAGCTAGCATGAGAATGGGTATACAGGCACAGTTTTGATAATAGCAGTGCTTTTTAATTTTAATTTTTATTTTTATTTTCCGTAGACTACTAGAGAAAAGCAGAGCAGGTATCATCATACCTGTTTGTTAGATGAGAAAAGTGAGGCTCAGAGAGGTTGGCTGGGTATGCTCAGAGTCACACAGCTGGTATTTGTTAGGAAATCAGGTTGAAAGTAAACCTTTAAATATGAGACCGTAGAATCAGGTTAAGGAAATGATGAAAGAAGTCACACATAACTATGGCTCCTCAGTATTGAAGGTGAGTCATCAGGTTCGGATACAGACTGACCAGGAACACGGACACACACATCAGGGTCTGTAAGTGAACGTGTAAACTCTAAACACTTAGAGATAACTCTGAATGTGAGAGAGGTTGAGTGAGGAGGAAGGGGCTGTTCTAATTACATGGCATCATTTCAGAGTACGTACTTTATAACAACAGAAAACGAAATCTTTTCTTTGACCAGTGCCCTTTGCCCCCTTAAGGTAACTCCTTGTCTGGGCTCTAGGCTACATCGCAGAGCCCTGGAAGGGAGGGACTGTACGGGTCTTAGTCCTTATTCTTACCAACCAAGGCAGAGCGAAGTGCGCTCAGGGTACATCTCTAGCTTTCGGAGGCCAGTGTCGTGGAGGATGACTGTCATCTGCTCTCTGGAAGCCTGCCTGGGTGTGCTGAGAGAGACAGCCCAGGCCAGACAGGTCATTCTGTGACTACGGCAGTTCTTCTGTAACCTTTTTTGGGTGGTAGTTATTTTCTCGATCTTTGAACATTTGCAAGTAGACGACAGCTTGTTACCAAACCGCAAACCCTCACTGAGGCTTCTGTCTGCCAGGCGCCCGGAGATCACCATTGTGGCAGCCGAGCCACTGAGGCCGGCCTCGTGGTTTCCAGGAGCACCACCTCCAGGACTGGGATTTCCCCCGTCTTCTGCAGCAGGCCCGTGGAGGCCCAGTGAGCTGGTTCCTGCTGAGGTGAATAAATACCACATGATCTTTTGCATTTTAGTTTTAAATGAAGTTCAAGGATAAGAACAGTGAGACTGTTAACACTTTGGCTATTGCCCACAGGTGTCTAAAATCTTCATTCTTCACTTCGCAGCTCCCACCGTCTTATGAACAAGTCATAAAAGAAATCAACCAAGTTCAAGTTAATAGTACAAATAACAATAATGCTGCTGCCACTCCAAGGCACACTATTACTTCTGCAACTCAGACTGACTTCTCAGAAGAAATAGACAACCATCTGCCTCAAAGTAATGCAAGTAATTTGTCTTCCCTAGTTCTGACCTAGTTCTAGGGAACTAATCAATAGGTTCTAGCCTTTAGAGTAACTTGTAATTTGTGCATTATTCATTGAGCTCTGCCTCCCAGTCAGCGTGGTCACTGTGTGCCTGCTTTATTGGGGCTTGCTGTGATATTACAATAGATCATTCTCAAGCCAAGGCCCCAGTCACCCCAGTTCATATCACAAAAACATCATCCTTTTAGCTCATGGTTGGTATTGCTGTGGATGCCCTTTATTCCCATTGGAAAAGATGTTGTATTTAGCAACTTAAACTTGATAGGCAGCTAAAGGTCCTGTTAGGCTTTTAAAAAGCATTGTATTAGCGTTGACAGATGAGAGTACGTTACTTTGGAAAAGTAAAGCAAGAATTATTGAAATTTTGACAAGAGAGAAATGGCTCACTGATAAGTCCACTGAGAATCAGGGATGTAACAGTGTTTTAAAATATTACATAATGAATATTATATGAATAAAGACAACCTGAAGAGCCCTTCTGCAGGAAGCTGGATATAAACGTTTCCCCACTGATTTCAGAATTATTCTTTACTAATTAAGGAAACCAAAATCTCTTGATAGTCTACGTGTATATTTTTAAAATTTGTGTATCTTCTATTATTTTGTCTTTTCTATTTTAACGTTGCAACTTCTGTTCTCGTCAGCACTGCCGGCACCTCTCAAACCTCTGCAGCCTTCCCCAGCGGCCTCAGCCAGCGATCATCTGACAAATGTGGCGCCTTTAATAGTCTTTGATGTTTCCGAAGAACAGAATTGTCCAGAAAACTCCAGTGCTACAAGATGTCCAGTGCCAAAACCAAGATCAAAAAGCAACCTCAGACCAGTAGCCAGAGATACCCACATTAAAGAGCAGAATCACCAGAAAACCAGCGCAGCAGCCACCCGCGAGGAGCCAGCCCCGAGCCGGCCACAGGCTCTGTTGGACAACACCAGTGACTTGGATAGTCAGGCGGTGATGAACATTATGAACACAGAACGAAGCCAAAATACCGTCGTTTCAAGGATCAAAGCATTTGAGGGTCAGACAAATACAGAAAGCTTGGGACTGCCCAAGAAACCAGAAATTGCTCCCCGCACACTGCCCCCAAGGCCTGCTGTTCCCTCAGGGAAACCCTCTGTGGCTCCCAAACCAGCAGCCAACAGAGCTTCTGGAGAATGGGACTCCTGGACTGAAAACAGACTCAGGGTGGCCTCCGGGGAAGGGCTCACCCCACATTCCCCAATGCAAGAAGCCAGGAGCATCCCGGGAACCAAACCTGAATTGCCAAAGAAACCAAACCCTGGCCTTATACGAAGTGTGAATCATGAGATTCTGGGAGGAGGGCCCGTGGCCGAGAGCCCTGACGTTGGGAGGAAAGCCCCCACTCCTGCTCCTCGGCCTTTGCTGCCGAAGAAATCCATTTCCTCAGAAAACCCCAACTACCCTGCGGCTTTGCTGAAACCGGTCACTGTTCCTCCCCGACTCTCAGTGGCATCACAAGCCAAAGCATTCAGGTCGCTGGGAGAGGGACCTCCAGCCAACCCCCCAGTGCCAGTTCTGCAGAGCAAGCCTCTGGGGGACATCGACCTCATCAGCTTTGATGACGATGTTTTACCCACCCCAACGGGGAACCTGGTTGAAGACTCTCTTGGTTCAGAGATGGTTCTGGGTGAGTAAAATCAGAAGTGGGAGGGGAGTCTAAACTCATCACAGGGTATCTTGAATGGTACTTACTGTTTTATTTCTGGCACATCAGTATTGAGGTGTGTGCGTGCACATGTGTGCATATGTGTGTGTGTGCAGAGACAGGGAGAAACAGCCAGATGAAGAAACATGGAGCCGAGTGGGAGATGGAAATAGAAACAGAGAGGGAAGGGAAGGTATGGGATGGGGAGATGGAGACGTTGATTACTCTTACATGAGCCAGGAATAAGCGGGCTGGGACTAGGGACTCAACTATGTGGGAGGCTGGCTCCTTCCTTTGAGGTGGAGATTCGAGCATTAGGAGGATGGAGGGGAGACTTCTCAGAGGCCAAAAGTTACACAGCAGCCTCAGAAGGGCTCCTCAGATTGAACTGCCCTGCGGGAGTGCCAGGAGAGGGGCCAGCCCTGGGGAGGACTCCAGCAGGAGCAGTAAACCCAGCCATATGTTGCAAAAATGTTTTCCTGTAATCTTCATGGAACATCTTCCCTTGGGAATGCACAGTTTTGTAAATAAAATACAACAGTTGTAAGTTTCCTGCCAAGATCAGGACAATTAGATTTTCCCAAGAGGCAGTGTTCAGATGGAGAGTGTGATGGTAAAACTTATCTTTGGTTTGCCAAACCAAGCTGCTCTGCTTGTCATTGATAAGGTTCCTTTTACTACTGTTTACTTATTTGAGTCAAAATTGTGAACATATACGCTTAATGGTATTTTCAGAAGGTTAGCTGTCACCTTATAAATGTTTAAGGTGCATCAAAATGATACAAACTCCGTGGTTCAAAGGCCAATTCTGCACAGCACAGGTGTATTCTAAATGATAACAAACACAAATTTATTAAGTATCTATCATGCACACAACATTGTAACCGTCTGTAGCATGCCTCTTGTCCATAAGAAGGAGAAAGAAAAATGTTAGCCTATACTGAACTTCGGCCGTGTTCCAAACCCTCTGCTAGATACCCAGACATACATTATTTAATTTAATACTTACAGTAACCCTCTGCAAGGTATCGTTGGCCCCACTTTGCAGATAAAGAAAATTAGACTGAGAGAAATCAATTGGTAACTTATTCGTGTCATAGGACAATTTTCCAAAGCAGGAGTCACACTCAGTCCTTTTATTCTACTAGTTTATTTTTCGCCGTATGGTGTTGCTAACCCAACATTTTCATGAATCCTTAAACCAGGCAACATATTAAAAACTTTTCAAGTCTGTAACTGTCATGTCATTTTCTTACTTAACCTTTTTGCTGTCAACAAGGTGCTGTGTAGGACAGAGATGGGTAGATCCAAAAGCAGCAAGCTGTTAAGGGCTGGAAACCATACAAGCCAAAGACATACCACCTTTTGCAGAAGCTCTTAGATTCTATGGGGATGGCAACTTGGTTAATAATTGGTGAGAATTTATTCTGTGTCATCGAGCAGATAATTACAGTCATCATCAAGAAGGAAGGCCAGCAATACACATCAACATGAATACAGTGCCCTGCTTCATACTCAGCCTTTTCTGTTTCTTGATTTCTACCACTTCATTGCACAACAGTTAATTACTGAGGCAGTCTTCTAGCAAAATGTATAATTTGCTCATCCCACCTGCCTTTAACCATCGCTCTTAACTGTGGAGTTATACTGAACTAAACACTCTTATCTTCTTTTTAAACCTGCTCCTCTTCCTGTATTCTGCACCTCCCTTAGTGATACTCTCACACACCAGCCCTCCCTGAAGAATCCTATAGATCATCCTTGAGCCTTCCTACCTGTCACACAGTGGCCAGTTGTTTGGACTTAGAGTCAACCACTACCACTTGATTGCTGTGTGACCTTGAGCAATTTACTTAACCCCACACTGCCTCGGTTTCCTCATCTATAAAACACGATAATAATACTCCTCGTAGAGCTATTGCAAGTATTAAACGTGCTTATGCAGGAAAGCCCTATCACACTGTCTGAACCATGGTAAGTGCTCATTAAGTAGGAGCTGTTATTCTTACTTCTTGCCCTTCACATCCACGTCAGTTGCCAAGTCCTGCTGGTTTTACCTTCTGATTAGTTCTTAAATCTTCCTCTTATTTCCAGCCCTCCTGCTACTGCCCCGCTTTAGACCGTTAGGCCCAGATTCCTGCAGTGGCCTCCAGAACTGAGCCTCTGCTTCTGCCCCAAACCCATCATCGTCCATACTGTGGTTACCCTAGAGTGGACACTGGACCTTGTTGCTTCTTTGCTTATTGCCCTCCAAAGGCCTTCGAGATCACCTCTGAATTCCTCAGTATGTAGAGGGATTTTTGTTTATTGATTTGGGCTCTGTGACTTTTTTTGAGGGGGGTAGCTACACGTTTTTTTGTATAACTGACCTACAGCAGTATGTTAGTTCCATGTATACAGCCTAGTGATTCGATATTTCAAAATGATCACCATGAGAAGTCTAGTTCCCATCTGTCATCATACAAAGTTATTACAATATTATTGACCATGTCCTCCATGCTGTAAGGCGTCGTGACTTTTTGGTGGTATTTTCATGCATTGTCTTTGTAAATAAAGGATTATGGTCTCTTTGTGAAACCTTGCTTAATCATCCTAGCATCAGCCAGAAACTGGGGGAGGAACACAGAGAGAGGAGAGAAACTCAAATATGTCTTTCCTTCTTTTTCTCTTCCCTCAAAAATAAAGAAAATCCAATAAAGTAGTTTCCATAAAATAAAGTTGCCTTATTAATCTCAGGAAATAGAGATCAGAAAATACCGAAGCTGTGAAAACATTGTAAAGATTAGAAAAATTATTAAAGAGAAACTCATAAAACAGGCAATTTAATATTGGATTCAATTCTTGGGTAGAATGCCTTCCAGGTTAATGTAATGGGACTGAGAAGCATTAGCAATTCCTCTTCACACCTTTACAAATCATACCCAGTTGTCAAAAAAAAGCAGAACGCTTCTGCTGTCAGCCCCATTACACAGACCAGAGTAATAGTTTAGCAGCCAATTTCTGCTATTAGCAGAACTCAAGGGAAAGAAATGAGAGAAAAGCAAGCCAAGGATGGTGAAACTGATTATGATGACAAGCATATTATTAGAGACAGGTAATGGGCAGAAAACTACATTATCATCAGTGTGTTTCTCAACTCGGTAATGAAGACCATGCGGATGTAGGTGTAAAGGGGCCTGCTTGCTTGGCAGCAGGTGTAGAGTAATTGGCATTGGTGTGAGGGGCTGGAAGGAGGGCAGAGGAAACATTGCAAATAAAAAGTAGGGAAAGAAGCCATTGACTTCCCTAAGATTTGGATGGGAGATTCTTTTGGAGATGTTTGTGTTTTTTTCTATGGAAGCAAAAGCAAACAGTCTGTGGTAGAGAAACAAACATTTAGTAAAAGAAAAAACTAATCTCCCTCCAGTCCATTCAAATCTCCAGAATAACCAGTGTGATGTGTTGTATGTCACTTTCTGTGCCTTTGGACTTTCCAAACCAAAGCTGACGAACATGTACACATATGTGCACTTTTTCCTGCTTTTTATGAAAATGTTTATCCTGGTACCCGTTACTCAGCAGCTTGCTTTTTTCATTTACTAATGAGATTTAGGGACTTCTCTTCAGGCCAGCAGGTCTAAGTCTACCTCCTTGTTTCCTTGTTCCTGCCTGACAGTCCCTAGTATGAACGCAGCATAGTTGGGTCAACACTTCCCCTACTGATGGTAATTCAGGTGGTTTTGTTTTTTATTTGGAGGGTTTGGCGGGGGGTTTTTTTGCCACTACAAAAAAAAAAAAACTGCAGTGAACACTCTCAAACATTTTCACTTCTACTAGTTCTTTTATAAAATCTGAAGAATAAATTTCCAAAAGTGGGACTACTGGTTTAAAGATTATGAACTTTAAACATAACTAACAGTATCAATGATCCAGTTTCCCGCCTGGCAGGGCCTGGAGTTCCCAAACGTAAGGTGCCATCCTTGCTTTGTTTGTCACCCACTTATATTTCTGTTGGGAAAAAACAAAAATGCCCCTCTCATCAAAAGACTTAAAAAGTCAACATACTGTGTAGCTAGAGAGAGACTTGCGCTCCATCATCAAGACGGAAAACAGGCCTCTGGCTCCACCTTCTTATTGAAGTGATGCTGTTTGTTCTCCCCGCTGATCTGCACGCCTCTCTTGGACTGCAGCCCGGGACAGCACGCAGACGGAGAGGCCAATGCCGAGCCACTGACTCAGTGAGCACAGCTGGGGGGTGTCATTAAACAGATCCACTCCTGCCAAACAGCCACAGCGCCGGAACACGAAGACATCCTTGCTCCACTGTATTGGGAAAGATTTTCTTTTTTCCTGGAGACATGTATAGTAGAACTATCTGAGTGCCCTTATTAAAGAGCAGCAAATGATATTAAAAATAAAGACCAAAAAAGAAAGTGGGTAGCTAGGACACTTGGAATACGTTGTATTTAAGTTGTATCTATGCTACTTCAGTTTAAATCCTGCAGGTTTGAAAAAAAAAATGACTGGACCCTTTAATTCCATTGGTGAGACCTGCAGGATTGGGAGCGGGGGTTCCCTGAGGCCAGCCTTCCAAGAACACTGAGTAGCCTCTTTTCTCCTTTCCCTACCCGCCCCTTGTTTGTGTTCTCACTCCTGGAATGTGAGAGAGAGAGTGTAGGTGGGATACTGGCTTGGGAAATTCTTTGCTCTGTTCACTGAAGTGTTCCCAGCACCTAGAACAGCATTTGATGTGTAACTGACACCCAGTCAATACCCAATGAACAACACAAGAAATAGATACAAAAAGATCTTGTTTTTGTTTTTCAAAGTACCTGCATAATAATACATGTGATACAGAAAATAAAAATCTGTAGACAGATACAGCAAACTTTAGATAATAGTTATTACTGGAGCGATGGGAATACAGGAGATTTTCTACCATATACTTCTTAATGGTTCCCATTTTTACATTAAATATTACTTCTGAAGTAAAAAATAATGCTATAACAAAGTAAAGAATTAAAGAATTTGGTTAGACCTAAGAGAAGGAGCTTTGTTTTGTGGGGACATAGGTTACAGTGGAAGACAGTGATATTATTACAAGAGCCTTTTTTGAACATTTGGTATTGTTTTGATGTTGAGTTGGTTTCTTGAACTTAGACAAGACTTGCCTCACTTATGAGCTGATAGGTTTTCACAAAGGGGTCATCTAATTGGTTTTTTTTTCAGTAGCCTAATAATAATTTTACCGAGAATGCCATGTTGGGGTTCTTCTAAATAATAAACTTAAAATGGGGTGGTACTTTACCATCACATCTCCCCACCTCACACCATTACCAGCACGTGGTAGACAGACACATAAGAGCAAGTGGCCAGTGAGTGTGTGAGGCTCTGTAGGAGGCTTGGCGGGCAGGTTGCCTGAGAGCTAGGTAGAGGCAAAGGGCAGGTATCAGGGAGCTGAAAAGCCTTCTGATCCTCAGCCCAGCTCTTCACATATCCTGAAAAGAGCTGGTCAGCAAAAAGTGGTTATTGAATTGCAGCTCATAACAGGCAGGACACGAATGCTGCTCTTCACAGGCTCTGCGAAGTGCACTGTGTTACAGGGAGTATCTCCCTACAGGCGAGATCCACAGAACAGGTGCAGAATACGGCACATGTTCATTCTGCCTCTTGCTGAATAAAGGCAGAAGCGGCATCATGAGAGCCTGTGTGCTGTAAAAAATATGCACTATATGCAGTATTTGATTTTATTTTTACTAATCTATTTATTTTTAGACTTCTTTTAAAACTTTTATAGCCATTTTCCCAAATGACTGAAAAACATTTACATTAAAGAAAAAAAGACTGTTTCTTTAAGTAAAAGAGTTTGGTGGTAATGCTTTTGTTTAAAACACTCTCCCTAAGCACATACTGTCCATTTTAAATGAACAGGTTAAGATGGAGAAATGCCAACTCATATATCCTTTCCTCCGAGTTAAATATTTGAAGGGAGATGGCTTATCTTATTTTGAGGATAAAACGTGTTTCATTTGCATGTCAGTGGAATAAATCTGAGACTACAGAACACCCCCCCATCCACCCCGCCTCCACCACGCTCAGTGCTGGGTGGGACTAGGCTGGTGAGCCCTGAGGAGAGAGTTTCCAGTACAGGCACAGGAACGTGGGGGCAGAGAGGCCTTCCTTCCTGGGGGACCTGGGGGGCTTCACAATAGGGGGAAAATTGGCTCCTCGTTTCAATTGCCCCTCGTCAGGTGGACACTTATGAAATGATTGCACTCCCATGAAAGATAGCTTCTGTATAATTGAAGATTGTCCTGGCTCTCTCTCATCAGAGAGGAAGAAAAGCCATATGAATTATTTACAGAGCACCAAGTTATTTCCTTTCATGAGCCCTGACTTTGTTTTTGTCTCTGCAAACTGAGATTTTATTTATCCATGAATAGTTTTCCCTAGGGCATGAAAAATATGACTCTTTAATTATGAATACAGTTTTTTGTTTGAGTCCGTGTTAACTAAAACATGCAAAATAAACTGTGTTTCTCATTAGATCCCTTTCAGCTCCCTACAAAAACAGAACCAATAAAGGAACGAGCAGTTCAACCAGCACCCACCAGGAAGCCCACTGTGATTCGAATTCCAGCCAAACCAGGAAAATGTAAGCACTTCTCTGCTTCGTTTATTTGCTTCTCCAGGAGCCTGGGAGAAATATATGCTAATTTGTCAGTGTCTGCTTTTGAAATTGTGTGTAATCCAGCCATTTGTTGTTATTATTCATAATCAAGGACATTTAAAAGCAAGCTGTTTTTTCACAGCTATATAGACAATTACAGTAAATTTGGATTTCACTTCTCTTTAAACATCGTCGTTTGGCAGAGAGAGTAGAGGAAAGTTGAAATTCAGAACAATTGTAGTGTCCTGTGTTGGTGCCAGTGGTAAAGATATGTTTAGAAAGTAATTGAAACTGATAGCAAATAAAGTCGTGTATGTCTATCAGGAGTACATTATTCCAATCAGCATAATCTAAATATAGCTATGTGTGAATTGTTTTAAGAGCAATAACCAAAAGTTATAAAGACGTAACAATGTATAAAAATATTTTAAACTGGTGTAACACTACATTTTGATATACTTCCTTGACTTTTTAATGGTACAATAAATAAAATTTTGTATTTTGTATTTGTATAATGCAGATAAATCTGATACTATCGTAAGAGAGAAGCAGCGAGGGCCAGAACTATTTATCTTAGACCCTGGAGATTAATAAAAAGTGTGTGCGTGTGTATGCACACGAATGCACACACAGTGGGTTCCAGAGCAGTTCCCAGCGTTGCTCAGGTGGTCACACAGCTTTCTCCGTGAGCCTCTGCTTCCGTCTCCTTTCATTCAGTGCTTCTGCATCCTCTCCTTTGTCTAAGAGGAGATTCTGCCGCTCCATTTCCTCCCAACAGCAGGGCAGGTGTGTCGTGGTCTCTGACCTGCAGTTTCCCAGGGTTATACTGCAGGCCTGCCCTGGATGCCGTGAAGCCCCTTTGGTTTAGGGGTTTGGGTTCTCTATAAAAGACTACCCAGAAAGATTGCATTGGTTTTAGTCTCTTGATTAATTTGATACCTCTAAGCCAAGTAGTGAGAAGATAGAATGGAGTTTCCATGACGAATGAGGAGGAAAGTCTAGGGGACCAAATTCTAGTGGGTTCTTGCATCTTAGGAGGTTATATGGTGGTGCTAGACCAAAGAACTGGTGGCAAGTTTCTTTGGGAAGGATCATATAGCCCACAAATGAGTGACATGAGAGCTCACTGGGCTGTCTGCCTGCTTGCTGTTACCTTGTTAAATGTATTTGGGGTTTTCTAATAGGCATCGTGAGATACATGATAATAAATGTCGCCCGAAGCTCATGTGGTTTTAAGTAGTACAACTTTTACATTGAGGCATTCTCCTGTTGTGTCCCCAAGACCCTCCCCCTCGAGTCCCATGGTTCCCTAGGAGGGTTCACAGGATTCACATATAGTTGCGTTTGCGACTGTGACTTATCACACAGAAGTGTGCAAAGCAAAATCAGCAAAGGGAAAAGGTGGAGGAGGCAAAGTCTAGAGGAAGCTGGGTACATGCAGGCTTCTAAGAGTCCTCTCCCAGTACCTCCCTGCCTCCAGCAACCAGTTGTGACAATATGTGTGAAATGTTGTCAAACAGAGATGCTCCTTTAGAGATTCAATGCCCAGGGTTTTTACTGAGGGCTAGTTGCATGGGCACCTCCAGGAATTTGGGCATATACCAAAATTTCAGACTCCCAGAAGGAAAGCAGGTGTTCAGCATGAACCATGTTCTTTTGTTGCACCAGTTCTAGAGTTGGTGGGAACCTTCCCTAAGTTCAAGTTCCTAGGTGCCAGCAAGGACTAAGCTTGTAAGCAGGCCTTTCTAAGGATGAGCACTCAAGTTTGCATTGTTGACTCTTCTCTGCACACTTAGAAATTGGATTAGTAGTCCTGAAATCCTGAGGATATATTGAGGAAGTACCTTTAACTTGATATTCTGACGAGGCTTCAGGAACTATTAGAAAGCTGAGTTCTATAGTGCTCTGGGTAAGAGAACTCAAGTTCCAGTTCCTAGAGAATTATTTCTATTTATATCAAAAACCAGTTCCCCAGAATTTTACTATTACAACCATTAAGCAATGCATACATGCTGTAGAGGAGAAGAAATAAGACTTTTGGCGTCTGAAGAACTTGGAGTGGACAGGGAAGAAAGGAACAGCTATGTGGCGCCAAACTCCTTGCTTTTCTGTGAACCTGTCAGCTTCTTACCCTGGGGACCTGTTTCTTGTGACTCGGATGTCCTTTCCCCAGGGGCCTGCATGGCTCCCTTCTTCACTGCTCCTTGAGGTCTTTGCACAAATGCCACATTTCTCATTGAGATCCCCACTGATCGCATTGTTTGACACTGAAATCTCTACCCACCCCACATACCCTGCCAGATAGTTACCGTGCCCTGTCCTTCCGGTAAGCTATCTCTTCTCTATTTTCATACTATTACTCCTTTCACCCTTCAGTTGTTTGCAACAACAATGTTATATCCTGAGTGATTCATTATTTCCTTGTCAGAATAAGGAAACTGCAGCACAGAGAAAATCTTCAAGATGGTGACTGAGCTGGACCATCCCTGTGTGTGTTGTAATTTCCCGAGCAGCCCTGCCTCTCCCTAAGAACGTTTGTCTGTCTCTGAATCATTGTTTTCTGAGGCGCTGGCCTGGGTATTTTCCTCCTTTTGAGAGTGTTTTCCTGTCTGTCGATAATACAGGAATCTGAAAAATCATCCTCCTGTTACAGGTTTTTCACGTGAAATGGAAGCAGAGAGTGTTCATTTCAAAGAATAGGAAAAATTCCCATCTCCTATAAATTCCTAAACCAGTAGGAGGTGGCTTTAGCCTTCTGTAGTATGTTATCATCATCCCGTCTCCAAGTGTTTTGCACACAGATTTTAATTAGCTGTCACTAATTAAATCTGGTCATCTTTGTTTTCTTCTCTTTAAAATAAGGTGGGAGTGTACTATCTCTCAGTTAAGGATGTAGTTTGGATGTAAAGATATTGTTTGTTAAAACGGGAGCAGTTAAGCCTATTAATCTGAAGCTAATGAATAAGAAAATACATGTAATTATTGGGATGGGAGGGGGTTGGAAACACCACCTGTTAGGAAGCAGCGTGCCTTATTACCATGAGCACAGGCTTTTAGGTTCAAACCCCTGATCTGACCATTACTAGCATTAAGACCTTGGCTAGATCATTTATTTTCTTACCTTCAGTTTCTTCATCTGTAAAATGGGTAGGAATAATATCCAGCATAATGCTGTCCCAATAGGACTTTCTGCTGAGACGCAAATGTTTTATATCTGTGCTGTCCAGTATGGTAGCCACTAGCCACATGTAGCTACTGAGGGCTTGGAATGTGGCTAGTGCAACTGAGGAACTGAAACTTGAAGTTTATTTAATTTTAATTAATTAAGATTTAAGTTTAAATTGCCACATGTGGCTGCTAGCTTGTAGGCTGAACAGGTCTAGCACTTAGACAGCTGTTGGTTGGAGAAATGTGTGTGAATGAAGTGCCTTAACTTAATGCCTGACACACAGAAGGTTTTCAACAAATGCTAGATGCTGTTGTAATTATTTAGCATTATTTTTACTCTCTATAAAACATTCAAAAAAATACTTGGTAAAGTTAACCATTGCCTACTAACCCATAATTTTCCGAGGGTTGCCAGGAGCTCTTTCTCATTTGTGTAGCTATCCATTCTTTGAATGGATCTTTTTGCAATAGCCGTTTTCCTAAGGAATGAAGCTGCAATCGTTTCAAGCTTTGAATTCCTGAAGACTAGAAATTACTGAAGAATTACTGCTGTCTTTCTAGGTTTACATGAGGAGGATCCACAAAGCCCACCTCCTCTCCCTACTGAAAAGCCTGTTGGAAACACTTACAGCACAGGGTCTGGAAAACTCGGTAATGTTGACAGAACCAGAAACTTGGTAAGTGGTCATTATAGATTATTTTAGGTTGAAGACTAAACTACTCACTAATTTCAAATATTTAGCTGATGTCTAAATTTTTTTACCATAGGTCAGATTAAAAAAAACTTTATTATAAACCAATTGCTAAGCCCCATGTACTTACCCAATATTTTAAAAATCCCCATAGAATAAAAGAACCAAGCTAATTTATTGTATTTCATTATAAAACTGTTTTTCCTATATCAGTATAAGGCATTATCTTTTAAATGCCACTAATAATGAGGAAGTTATTGAAAATCTCCAAAAATCTTTAATTTTTGTGGAAATAGAGTTAGTTCAATTATCAGTATTTAAAATACCCAATTAGTGACATAATTTTAAGAGATTATCATAAGAATCTGTTCGTCTGAAATTTAAGGGAGAATTACTTTCTAAATTTAAAAAAATAGTTCTTTATCATGTACTTGTCAACAGACAGTAGTCAAAAAATTTTAAATATATATACTTTAAAAAAGAAATTTCAACCTCGATATTATTTCCCCGTACTTTCTGAAATTCCCATATGATTATCTTTAATGTTTGTTTCAAAAGAAACCAGTTTTTAAAGTCTCTGAGCCAAATTTCCAGTTCAAATTTCATAATGGTTTTACATTGTGCATTAACTATGCTTATTATACATGCAAACCCATCTAATCATCTAGTGAAGAGAAATTTCTTTGAAGGAGACATTAAATTGAATTAGCCAATATCAAGTTAATGAGATTTTCCTGTAGGCTGAATTAAAATTTAGTGATCACTTGCATTTCAAAGTGCTTGGTAATAAATTTTTATTGAAACTGGGCCAAGAAAACCCAAAAGAGGATGATAGGGCTCCTACCATGCTATCATTGAATGGGAAAACCCCCAAATTTCCATGGAGGAAAAGTTACTTGAGGAGGTTATTGGCTTCTACTCTGTAAAAGACAATGAGAGGATGATGCGTGGACACATATACCATCATTTACTCACGTAATGGCCTTTGTAAACCATAAAGCTCTGTTAAAATATTATTACATTTGGTGTTAAGCAGTCCACAAAGCAACTCCAACATTTAAAAAAAAAAACCAAGAAAAGGAAGTTAGAATAAACTAAACCATCTGGAGAGGTACTATATTCATAACTGTTTGTACCTCACATGAACAACACAAGGAAAATCCTGTCCTGCACTGTTTACAAAGGGAGGGTGGTCAAAGCACTCTGTGATGTCCTCTAATAAATACATACCATAATAGACACACCGGGTCTGAAAGAAGAAGAGATGAGAAACAGATCACAAAGTAAATGATTTGGCCGAAGTCACGCACATAGATTTCCAGGGCCAAAAAGTCAAATCTACGCCTGAGAAATTCCTTTTGTTTTGAGAGTTACAATTACGGAATGGATTTTAGACCAGAGGCGACAAAGGCTTTAGGTGTGGGAGAGGGTCTCCAGAAAGAATATTTCACAAGTATAATGACCCGTGAGAACAATCATGGTCTTTGACAATCGTGTCTCCTGATGAGGCATAGGACAAAGCCTTCTTCTGTGTCTCCAGCCTTGAGTGCCAAGGAACTTTCCATCACAGGACAAGTAGTTGCAAAATCTCATGTTCTTCGATTAAATGGCGAGGATCTCCAGGGTGAGGAATGTTGGGAGCCACTGGAGCCATTCTGTCAGCAGGAGCAGACACTTCTGAGTGCCCTGCTGCCCACTGTGGAAACGCAGGGCTCCCAAAGCCTCCCCCAAGGAAGGCAGGAGTGGACCAGGAGACGCAGCCCAGGAGGTGTAAGGAAACAAAGCTGTAGGATGGGAGCTGCTGAATCCAGGACATGAGAAGGGGTGCCAATTCCTAGAGAAAGAAGAGAAGAAACATCTGCAGAGGTGCTTAGTGATTCCAACAGACAAGAATGTGGTCTTGGAAGAAATATCTGTCATTTGAAAATACAGCAAAAAAAAAAACAAAAACCTGGAGAATTATTTTGAAATTAGACTGTAACAAACTGTTTCAAAGAAGATGAACAAAATGATGGCACCTGCAGGGAAATACAAGCAGAAAAACCAACTTCACCAGGACCTACAATGCTTATCCAAACATATCAAAAGCCAAAGTTCAGGGATGTCACAGCTAGAGAAAAACTACAAAAAGCAGATACAGAGGAGCTTCATTCATGTGTGGAATGTTGAAGAGCAGGAAATCCCTAATCCATAATCTCCCAAAAGACTGTTGGCAGGACCCATGCACAGACCTGGGCTTGAGCAAACACTGAGACCGTGGCTTCTGCAGGAACCAGTCCCCTGTCCTCAGTATTTGAAGTGTGTCCGATGCAGCAGTGCTTTTCAGAATGTGCCTAACATTCCTGGGGGATTTGAGTATACTGCCTTTGTTTTCTGATTTATTTTGTTCATTACAAACAAATGAGAAATTAAAAAGATATTTAAGATTTCCTATAAAAATAAAACCACCCAGAGAAAACTATAGCTGATATTTGGTACAAGATTAGGATTATGTGGTGTGTCTTTATACAAGTACACCATCTTTAACTTTCCATGTCAAATTTATACATCTGTATTTTTTTAAATTTGCCCTTAACTGTTAACGTATGTAGCAACTGTAATTTTGAGAAAAGCAATGAAATTTCCTGCCTATCTGCTAGAGTGCTTTTCTCTTTGTTTGTTTGTTTTCATTTTAAAGATGGCCAAGGAAATAAATGAGTTTTTCGAGTATCATAGCCGTATTTGTCAGGGGGGATGTAGGCAGCAGTGTATTTATAAGGCATGGAGGATAGTCCGGAATATTGCAGGGTTTATGAGCTGGTGACTTGCTTCACTACATTAACTGAACTCATTAGTGAAACCAGGTTTTAAGGGCAAGTTTAATTTGTTTTTTCAAATGGGATTATAAGACACTGAAACTTATTTAAATGATCACAGTTATTAGCAATTAATCATTTGGTATTTAAGGAAAAGTTGTGAATATTCACTACAAATTGAAAACCATAAAAGTGAGTTTTAACTCATTTATGAGAAGGAGGAAAACAGCCTGAATTAGCCCAGAGATTCCCAAGCTATAGTTAAACCTCCTTTATTAAAAAAAAAAAAAAGGCAGTGTAATTTTAAAGAGCTAGCATTTTTCTCCCTCAGGTGGTCTTGGAGAAATACTATTTCCTGGATGTCAGTGTTGGGGGCTTAGAAAGTAGGGAAGGTGAAAAACAGACTCAGTCAGAATTAGAATTTAGTGAGGGCTTTCCCCTAAAAAAAACAGAAGTTTTGGCTTTAAGATCCTTTAACTTCTCGATCAACAGAAGATCTGAAAATATTTCCACATATTATACTCATTTCCCAATCCTTGGGCTGTTAACACGTTCAGAAAACCTCTTTAGGTTTGAATCTCTTCTCCTAGACAGACCTCCCTGTTGCTGTCCACACTTCCACCTTCCCTCATCTACTTTCAGACCAGAACATTCCAGCCCTGCCTATCGTTTGTTTTTCACGCTGTCCCCCTTTACTCTTTCCCACATCCAACCCCTTCACTGCAGCAGAACAAGCCCTCTGCTTTTTCAGGCCTGTTCTCTTCCTCCTCACAGACCTTCCTTTCAGGCCACCCTGAAGCTTCTGTTACGTTCCCACCTCCTTCCAGTGCAGAACCCACCACACAATGTGTCAACCCTCCAGTCTGAGAGATCTGCCACTTCTAAGCAGAACACTCATCACCAACTCACTTGCTATATATTTAAACTTAGGAGCGCTGCATATCGTTAAGTGTTGTCATGGGACAAATAAATGACATATTTTTTAAATTCCCTCCAGTGCCTGCTTAAATTGCTGCTGTGTGACCTGTCATGATTTAAACATCGTCCTTGATTCGTCAGAATATGCTGGACATGTAACCACGCAGAGCAGTTGGTTGGGCCGTGGCTATAGCAGCAGACCCCCGGCCTCCTCCTCGCTGGCTTCACTTGCATTATGACAGGGACAGTGTAGAGAGTTAATATTGCTTAAGAATAAAAAACTCTTTTAAGCTCCTTTCTGTGACTCAGCTACATTTCCACTTAGAGATCCAGCCAAAAAGTTGTCCATAATTCCTCTTGACAAGCTCTTGTTTCAGATTAACCTTAACTTAAAAGCATTCTCTCATACTTGCAGGAATCTGACCATGCTGGTCAATCAGGAGGTTCTGTGCGAGGACCCCCAAGGTTGCCACCGAGGTAAGTAAGTGTGGGAAAACTTACAAAAAGTCAGTTAGAGAAGAACTAATGACTCTGAGACTAGTCTGTCTTTTCTGTCACCAAAACTGAGTGCTGCTGGCCTTGGACTTTCTTTTAGAGATACACTAAACTCACAAATTCACCCAGGACACTTAGCCTACAGTCAGCTTCTGACAACAGGTTATACAAATCTCTGCTCCTTTTTTTCTTTTAAAAAACCCAACCCCCCAAAATCACAGAGAACAAACATAGATCTCTGTTACTTTTTCTCAAACAAATTAACAAGATTCTTTTCCTAACCTAAAACAACTCCACTTCTGAAACACACACACACACACACACTCTCGCTCTCTCTCTTCCCCTGTTATCAGAAACCAGCCTGTTGTGTAGCATTTATTTCCAAAGGGAGACAGGCTTCATGAGCTCAGAAGTGACCAGCCCTCTTGAATTCCAGGGCTGTTTGGACAAAAAAAACTGTGATGTTATCAGAAGATGTTACCTGTGTTGGAAATTATTTTTATCTTTAGGATTAAAGGAAAAGCTTCGAAAGTAATAATTGTTCTATCTCATTTGCAGAACTAGCTTTATATTAAGCTCAATTAGAGTTTTAATGACGATTCTTATACGATGAATATTAGGGGAGTTTGATGTTCCTTTTCTAATCGTGTATATAAGACCACATCACAAATAGCTGATGTCTTATTATAAGCTTTTCATCTCAGACTTTGGTAGAAAGTGCTTAGTTTCCTGAAAGCCACGGTGTGTTTAAGAGCAGATGGAGCCTTAGAGAGCTCATGATAGTAAATGCTTGTTTGTCTTGAACTAATGAATCTCTAGTGCAAGATAAGCGGAAGCTGGAACATCGTGGCATTTCTTCTAATAATACAGTGTTTAATGCAGCAGTCACTTACTCAAAAATAGCATAGCCTGCATGTTTCAGAAAATTATATTACGCTAGCAAAAAGCTCTATGTGTTTGCATATGCTCATGTGTGTATGGACAAACAGGACAAAACAGAACCTTCTGTCACTTAAACACTGACTCACAGCTACCACATTGACTTTCAGACCCGCAGGTGGAAAAGTCATACCAGCTCGACAGCCTCCTCCCAAGGCGGCCCCTGAGAGACCACCTCCCCCAAAACTTCCTGCAACCAGGACATCAAGTAAAAAACTGCCTTTTAATCGGTCTTCTTCTGAGATGGATCTTCAGAAAAAACAAAGTAACTTGGCATCTGGACTCTCGAAAACCAAGAGTCAAGTCTTTAAAAATCAAGATCCGGTACTGCCCCCTCGCCCCAAACCAGGACACCCTCTCTACAGAAAATACATGGTAAATTTAGCTTTAAAAATATTTGTGGTCATGAAGTTTGTCCTAAACTGTATATAAGATCCATTATTCCTTAGAAAAAGATGATGAGACACATATGGAGTTGCCCCTTGACACTAAGAGTGCTTTAGATAAGTAGGCCATGATAAAACCTTGGTCTTTAAATCAGGGTTTTCTTATTAGGAGAAATACAGGAAAAAGAAGCAGGGCAGGATGAAGATTGCAGAAACAGAAACTCTGAAAAACCCAACCCAGTAGATTATACTCGTGGGAGTATCTCTGACAGATACTATTATTTATATCTTGATATAGTTTGTATCTTATAGCTACCTTGCCCACAGAGCAAATTTCAAATAAAGTAGAAAGAAAATTCTTATTAAGGTCGATAGTTTTCCCCTCATTTTCCACTTTTGTAAACCCTATTATCGTGGTCCCTTTAATAGTTACTAGTTAGTGCAGCCACTATGGAGAACAGTGTGGAGGTCCCTTAAAAAACTAAAAATAGACTTACCATGTGATCCAGCAATCGCACTCTTAGGCATATATCCAGAGAAAACTCTAATTCAAAAAGATATATGCACACCAGTGTTCATAAGAGCACTATTTTCAGTAACCAAGACATGGAAGCAACCTAAATGTCCATCAACAGATGAATGGATAAATGAGATGTAGTTTATGTATATAATAGAATATTACTCAGTTGTAAAAAAAAGAATGAAATAATGCCATCTGCAGCAACATGGGTGGACCTAGAGATTATCATATTAAGTGAAGTAAGTCAGACAGAGAAAGACAAATATCATATGATATCACTTATATATGGAATCTAAAAAAATGATACAAATGAGCTTATTTACAAGATAGAAACAGACTCACAGATATTGAAAACAAACTTATTACCAAAGGGGACAGGGGGATGGAGGGATGAATTAAGAGTTTAGGAGTAACATATACACACTACTATATATAAAGTAAACAGCAAGGACCTACTGTATAGCTCAGGGAACTATACTCAATATCTTGTAATAACCTATAATGGAAAAGAATCTGAAAATGAATATATATATGTATAACTGAATCATTTTGCTGTACACCTGAAACTAACATGACATTTTACATCAGCTATACTTCAAGTTTTTAAAAAGGTGGGGAAAAAAAGTTACAAGTTAGAAGTTTTCTTCAGTAACTGAGATAGCTGAGATATTAATTTTGTTCTCTTTGAACATTTTTCTCATCGTATGTCCTTAAGCCTTTGTCTTTGTTTCCTGCACTTGAAAACAGAGTTGATGCGCTCTCTCTGCTCTGGTCAGGTTAACCTGATGAATTCTAGAACAAAAACAATGAGAGCAGGAGTGTATGCACTTTTTAAACACTTGTACAACAGTACAACAGTTAACAGGAACAGCAATGAGTGATTTCATATTGTTCTACATGTCCATCATTGAGCTGGAAATTGTTTTCATTTTAAGCTCTTTAGAATTTTTTTTTACTCTTCCTAAGCGAAGGGTATAGGCAGATAAGAATGAGGTAATATATTCAGATATATTCGTTTCCATTTAAACTGATGAAATTTTAATTGCTAAAACCCAGGGGTGTTCTTAGGGATAAGTTACTTAAAAATTACAAATAAATAAAAGCAGTAGCTGATATGTTGAGTACTTATTAGCCAGGCATTGTTTGAAGCACTTTATATGTATTAAATAACTCTTTATTCCTCACACCAGGTATTATTATTATCTCTACTATATAAATGAAGAAAATAGGACTCAGAGAGGTTGAGTAACCTGTCCAGGGTCACAAAGCCAGTAGTGACGGAGCCAAGATTTGAACATAGATTAACTGTCTCTGAACCAATGCTCTTAACCATTAAGCCATACTTTGAAAATAGTGTCACTAATTACAAAGTCTGTAATAGCCAATTGCTTTGGCTACTCCATATTAAAAGCCCCACTCAGGGTAATTGGGTTTTGCTTATAAGTCTTAGAATAGCTGTATAATGTCAATAAAGCATTTGAATAACTCAAAGAAATTAATAAATTCAAAATATTAATGTGTCTCTTTACAAAACAATTCCTTAAATCTCTCATTTTTCCTGTGGCAACCGTACCATTCCATTGCTAACAGGAATCTGGATTCATTAGGCGCCCTGGTACTCTGACAGAGATGCAGAGAGGCAGCGGCACCCTCACACTCTGCATCTTTGCTCCTGAGTGACCGAAGGGCCCAGGCAGCCTCCCTTTCCTCGTTGCAGTGAGCTTGTGTGACCGCATCTCCTGGGTATGTCTTTCATATTGTTCAGGCCCTCTGACCTGCACTTATCAGCCAGCAGTTACCGAGGCAGGGAACGCAGTGCAGTACAATGTAAAAGCCATTCTAAGATCAGCCAGGGCTGAGTGGACCGGAAAGTGACTGCGATCAGGCAGTGGAATGGGTTTAAGTAGCCGCTTGTGTCAGAGAATCCAGGTGAGAGTCAAGGCAAATGGAAGCAGCTAGTCGAGCACTTCAGAGAAGCCATCAGTCCCCTATCAGCCAATCCTGAATTAAAGGCTGTGAGGTCGGGCGCTGAGTATTTGCCTCGGTGGACCTTGTCCTATGGAATAGAACTTCCTGGTTGTGGTTGTTAAAGGGCACTTGAGGCCGCGTTCAGCCGCTGTGAGCCTGTGGGCCAAGTCTGCACCCCAGGACTCTGCGTGAGAAATGGCAGGCCCCGCTGGGTCCGGAGCTCGGGGAAGCCAAATGAAGAGCATCAGTGCTGGAGAAGTTACAGATCCCCAGATGATCAGCCACTTAGGAGGAGGTGATTTGATTGTGAATAACTCTTTCACTGGTTTATGTTTAAGCTGTCTGTGCCTCATGGAATTGCCAAGGAAGACATTGTCCCGCAAAACCCCGGAGAACTTTCTTGTAAGGTAAAGTACAGTTCTTTCTTTATTGACTAATGTAAAAAATCACTGGCCTCTGTTACTGTTTTACACATTATTAAATGCTTTAGGCTCCAAAGATTAAAATGGGGAAAAAGTAATAATGTTTTATTAAATAATAATTGCTTCAGAGAGTGATATTGTACCTTGCAGCGTGGGGACGTACTTGTGATACTGAAGCAGGCGGAAAATAATTACTTGGAATGCCAAAAGGGAGAAGACACTGGCAGAGTTCACCTGTCTCAGATGAAGATTATCACCCCACTTGATGAACATCTTAGAAGCAGACCAAACGTGAGGAATTAATATTGTACTGCCCTCCTATCACACATGGCAGCACATTTCATAGAACTATTAATTATATCTCATCCTCGGGTTTTTATTAGCACGTTTATTTTAACCAGAGTAAGAATTACGGTAGCGTTTTATTCCATTTTAAGAATGAATTACTTCTAAGAGATTTGCCACAGCCATACTAATCACCGTGATGCAGAGTGACTGCCGTGTGCTCTGCCTTCATCCTGTCGTGCTGACTTGTAGCAACCAGAACACTCGGTCATTAATTTTCAACTGCAAGAGCTATTTATTTTTGAAATAATGTAAACATGTTTACCAAAGCACCAAAGATTAGTTTTCTAGCAGAATGGATAATTATTTTAAAGGGGCCCTATAAATGCTGTCTGACTTTAAAAAAAAAAAACCTTTAAGATTTAAGCTTAGTATAAACCTCGTTTCTCTGATCATAGCTCATAAAATAATGAAATGAAATGTTCCAACAACATGAAGTCACAATTTAGGCCTAGCAAATTTGTGGAGCCTGGGAGAATACAATGATTATTGAAGGTCATTTGTCCATCAAGAAAGGTGCCATTGGACAATTTATAGAGGTATATTTTTAAAAGAGCTTCTTAAAGTATCTGGTTAAATTTTCACTATATGTTATATAATGTAGAAAACGTGAAAAATGAGACTCATCAGTCATTTAAACTGAGTAAACTATTTGGTTTGTCATTCATCCTAGTTTTCATAATCTAGTCCAATTCTTTCTTCTTAGCAGGCCGTTTATCATTTGAGGTTTGCTGAGAAACTAAAAATTTGGAGGGCAGAGAAGTTGTGTGTGTGAAGGTAGTCACGGCTGGGACTCTGAAAACTCTGACTCCAGGCCCACAGGGAAGCTCTCCGATTGCTCATTTTCTCTTTGTTTGGATACAGCATTATCCATCCGTCACCTCTGTCCTTCCTCTCCCAGAACACACTTCCTTCCTTGATGAAAAATAGAAGGTGAAAAAATTGCAAGTTTTTCTTTCATAGAAGCCCACAGCTTTGTCCGCTTGAAACATTACCTTCCTCGTTCCTGTGCCGTACCTTGCAGAGAGTGGCCTCAGATGGCCAGCTACTGGGGACCCTGCCCTGCAGCCTCTCCTGGGCTCCAGGTCACAGCTCACATTGCATTGTATGGAGAAATAAAACTTAGCTATGTGAAAGTCTAGTTTTAAGGTAAATGTTTCTAAAGACGTGTTATTCTTTCCCCTTTCTGAGTAAACAGAAGGTACTGGACATTGTCAATTGAGACAGAGCCATGAGCCCTGGAGGAGGTGGGACACTGTCTAGCCCTGCATGGGTTCCAGCACACACTCAGGTTTCCGGTCCCCTCCCACCTCCTGAGGCCATTATTTAACCTCTGTAATCTTCATTTTATAAATGTGTGAAATGGGTATGATAATTCCTCACAGAGTCGTTTATAGAATTGATTTATCGTTATGATTCCATATATATAGAAGTCCAGAAAACGTAAATCCAGACAGGAGATTAGTGGTTGCCTTGAGCTGGTGGGGGAGAGGGGGGAGTGGGGAGTGACTGCGAATGCCTGGGAGGCTTCTCCAGGGAGTGACAAAAATGTTCTGAAGTTAGGTTCTGGTGATGGTCGCACAACTCTGTGAACACACTAAAAGTGTGTATGCTATAAATGGGCAAATTTAGGGCATGTGGCTCACATCTCAAAGATGCTTAAAAAATTAAATGAGCTAATTAATGCATATACAGTGTTGAACACATGAGTAGGGCACAGTGGGTGAACAGTGGATATTAGCTATTCCTATTACAAATTTGTATTAGCCATTATAATCACAGTAGAAAGAGCTTTCAAATATGTTAGATTTTCCTACCAGATACCCACCCTAACAGTGTGGTCTGAGTGGTACCTGCCAACCCTGTTTACCTGTGCCTCCCGTCCTTCCTTCATCTGCCGGGCCAAGGTGAAGAGCAGCCTTTCCAGGGACATCCATGCCCTGAAGGCAGAGAGGGGACACTAACTGGGAGGCACAGGTTACTGTCCCACCTCTTCTACCTTGTCAGGATCTTGGTCCATCTGGAGGTTCACGTTTGAGTTTGGTGTGAGGTAGGCCTCTGACTTTGTTTTTTTTTTTTAACATTTTTTATTGATTTATAATCATTTTACAATGTTGTGTCAAATTCCAGTGTTCAGCACAATTTTTCAGTCATTCATGGACATATACACACTCATTGTCACATTTTTTTCTCTGTGTTATCATAACATTTTGTGTATATTTTCCTGTGCTATACAGTATAATCTTGTTTATCTATTCTACAATTTTGAAATCCCAGTCTATCCCTTCGTTTTTTTCCAGACGGAAAGCCATCTAGGCTAGCTCCATTTATTGACCAGTCATTCCTTTTTCCACAGATGTAAACCAGCAAAAAATGAAAACCACAAAGACACACATAATAATTGGTGTAAATAATCATTTTTAAAACTTCTCCAGGCTTAAAATCCCTCACAGTTCCTTCCATGGTCCCTGATATTCCCATCATGCTTATTTAGGGAAAAGCACTGAGCAGCCTCAAAGAAAATGTTCAGCATTGCTTTGGTAAGCTGATGTGGCAAGCTGCTGTTAACCATTATTGTATCACCGTCACCGACTTGAAAGAGTACACAGCACGCATCCACAGGTGCATTCTGGTGATTCAGAAAAGAGTCCAGCAAGGGTGCTGCAGGGTGGAAGCAGAGAGAGTGAACCGCGATCCAGTGCTGCCTGACTGGCCGAGCGCATCATGGCCAGGACAGGGGTGGTCCCTAAGGAGTCACTGAAGGAGGGAAGGGACCATAGAGGGCATTAAAATCTGCCTGCATTTATTCCGCAGGTTTGCAGTGTTGAAGAGTTTTCAGTTCTAATTACAAATAATATCCTTCAGTCAGATTTGATGATGATGATGATGTGAATAAGCCTGTCTCTTCATATAAAGAAATTAATACCAAGTGCTTGTCAGTAGGAAACGGTCACTCTTCAACTTTACCTTCCCCTCTGCCCAATCTAAGCAGTTGGTTAGATGGGCAGAGAATATTGAATTCTCTTTGCTAATTTACTTGGAATTACTGTTGAATAAACCATGCAGATTAAATACAAAATCCAGGCCAGGCATGAGAGGTAGCATTGGCTTTCAAATTAGAGAAAGCATTCAGTTAAGTGGTAATAAATGAAGTGGATTTTAGTTTTTGTGAGTTATCCTTTTGTGGAGTCATTAGCTCTTTTCATTACAAAAGTCAGGAGCATCAGTTGCAGAACTTTCTTCTTTTCCCATCTTAATGATGACGCAACTTTTAAGACTCTGTTTTAAGGTTTAGTCCTGATCACAGTTTATGGAAAGAGCGACCTTTGAAACATGAAGAGGTCAGAAACCACTCCTTCGGGGTAGAATAGATACTGTTTTTGTTTTTGTCTTTTAAAGGTGATTTCCTTTTGTTTTCTCTTTAGTTAAAAAAAAATGCCGGGGATATTATAATGGAGTGTTATTTCTGTCCTCCTCTGGCAAGGACACATGTCTTTTCAACTTGGTAATGATTCCCTTGTTTGGCTCAGTTATGTGGTTTGCATCTTGTGCTCACAATGTAATTGTGTCAAGAGGAGTCTAATGAGGGGGAAAAATGGTCTCGGAGTGATAATAAACCTGGCGTCCATCCGCACACTCCATTCACCGCGCTGTTTTCCCCCTAAGGATCCAAGCCCTGCTCAGAAGCCTGTTGACAGTGGTGCCCCTCATGCTGTCGTTCTTCATGATTTTCCAGCAGGTAAGGACATAAATAATAAAGTGGTAGAACCACATGGTTCACAATCAGGCGTCCTCCCTGGGTTAACCTCTCAAAGACATCGTTCATTTTCGGTGCCAGCGGAGCCCTGGACTGGAGAGGTCATCTTATCCTCACCCAAGGGGTTCCTTGTATGCAGCCATCCGGGAAGGGTCACCTCTACCCAGCCATTTCAGGAAGCTTAGCTGCATACCCTTGCCTTTGAAACTGCCTGTGAGAGAGAGAGAGGAGAAGAGGGTGTCTGCCTTACAAATGAACAAATAGCAAATTGCCTACCATTTGCAAATTTTTTAACTCTTTCAAAACAAGGGGTACCAAATAACAGCTGTAATGAAATTAATTCTAACTGAATAAGTGAAGTTCTTTTCTCCTAAGAGTTGTAAAACCTACACACAAAGATCAACTATTACTTAAGAAATGAAAATATACATTTTTATAATCAGTTTTTAAATACCTTTTATATCCAAGGCAACAAATAAAATAAATTCCTAATTTATTTATAATCTTTTTTTAATCTACTTGGTGGACTGATTTTTATCTCAGTGTGAGTAAATTTATTTTCTAAAGAGCTGTATGACTCCCTTAGTTAATATTTTGAGATTGAAATGATTTTTAAGCATGGTTGAGAATAATATGAATATTATACCATGTCTGTAATGCTCCCTCATTGTTAAAATACGTTTTAAGCAGAAGGTTTATATTGGCACAGTAGGAATCGTTGGCAAGCACAGTGTTTTGTGTGTATTTTTTTTTAACCATTTCCTATCAATCAATGCATGGTAAATATATCTAATTTGATCTTAAAAGGGAAAGCTTATAGCAACAATATCCAACCCCGGAAAAAGGATATATTTTTAAAGTCAATTTGATTAGTATAATCTGTTCTCAGAATCAACAGAACATACTGCCTCGGTGGACAGAACTAAATGCTATTTTGTGCTCTGCTTTAATCAGATCTGCAACCAGGGTAATTCATCACACATAATTATAATTCTATGTTACAGAGCAAGTTGATGATTTGAACCTCACATCTGGAGAAATTGTTTATCTTCTGGAAAAAATAGATACAGATTGGTACAGAGGGAAATGTAGAAACCAGACAGGTGTATTTCCTGCCAACTATGTCAAAGTAATTGTAAGTAGGTTGTGCTTGTTTAAATTGGTCATATATTCAGTGGGTTCCATGTAATTTACAGTTTGGAAAAAAAGTAACCAGAAGCCTAGATTCTTGGGTTCTGGCTCTTTCTCTTCCATTAATTCCTTTGGTAGTTGGAAAATTCAAAAATAAAGATTTGTTCAACTAGATAATGGTTAATTGTGATTATATTATGGAGTATTGGTACTTGATGCTTAGGTGTTATCTGAAATCCCAAGGTGAAAAACTACTACAGGTCAACTGGTGAATGAACTATTCCTGGAGGGTTTGATGAGCACTTGAGGATATATGTTAATTCACTGAAGCATTCGGTGGGCAAGAATTAAATGATTCTGGATTGTCCTGAAGGAATGTTCTCTGAGGTTATGGTACCACTTCTCCTTTTCTTTGGAGTACGTTTCATTTTTGGTTTCCTTCATCCTTTTCACCCCCATTTTTCTCTACCTTTAAAAAAAAAGTAGATTTGGGAATACTAAAGTACTTTCATTGGAGGTAGTAGTCCACTAATGGTTTTTCAGATAATAATTTCAAATCTCATTGGGAAAAATTACATTAAAGTGTCAGAATTTGGACACCCTCATGTCCTTCATGGCCTACTTGTGAAAGCAGGCCCTGCTGATGGCAGGTAGAGCCCTGAGTACTGAGCCTGGGTGTGTGAAACATGGGGCTGAAATCAGGCTGCCATTCAAACATTTATATCAATAGGAAGAGTGTGTCTCAGGCCCTGATGTGACTTACTGATACTGGAAAGTATCAATAAAGCTAGCTTACGTCATTGAGAATTAACGACTTATTTGGGGGAAAAAGGCAAATGATTTTCCATTACATCAGAAACTTAGAAAACAAATATAACAGAAAACCTATATTTTTTTCAAATATAGATGAGTTTGAGTCTCTTGAACAAAATGTGGGTCTTAAAAATTGTCTGGTATATATATATATATATATATATATATCCTGATTCTTTGGAGAAATCCAACCACATTCTCTAAATTAATATTAAGAATTATGTTAGTTTTTGCTCTCTTCCTCATTTTTTCTTCTGCCCAATGTAGCAGTACTTTAAAAAAGCACAATTACCACACTGAAATCAATCACACTGAATTTGCCACATTATTGGTATAAGTGTTATTTCTAAGCTTACAAGTTTAAAAAATTGTTTTAAAACTTCGAACTTTTGGAATCCATCAAGAAGGGCACTGATTTATTTAATGTAAACCTCCAAGCCTTAAGTAGTTTTTGGACTTAGTGCGTTACAGTCAAATATTTCATCACAGCACAGCTCTACTGAGCCCTGGAAATGAAGTGTTGTATGAAAAATGCTTATCACTTACTAGATGCTCACTGAGTACTAATTCCTTTCTTCCTTCCCAACTCACACCGAAGGGAAAAAAACCATGTACCAGAATTATGAAAATGAAGAGAATTCACAAGTTGGACTAAAATATTTTATTCTAGGGGCACGAAAATATTGCAGAACTCTACTAGCACTATGAATAGGTGTCTAGGTGGTGCTCAGATGCCTGATGTCTAGTTTCTATCCTAAGTCCTCCTCACTGGAAGTTCTCGATATAGGGGGAGGGGACAGAAGACACTCAGTCAGGGGTAGAAAGACTTTAATGTGCTTATTCCAGCACATAAGAAAGGGATTGATTGGCTATTCAAAGAAGGCTACCTCACAAGTTATGCATTTTTTTTCAAAACCCAAAATCTGGGTTTTTTACCTTTTTAGCATCTATGGTAGGTACATTTATCTCTTTAATACCTTGCTAAAATGGCTAACTTCAGTCATGCGTTTCCTATTACTTAGCTTTAAATTTATCTTACTAAAAACTAAAATAATACAATTGTTCCCTTGATTTTGTCTTCACTAGGTTGATGTTCCAGGAGGAAATGGGAAAAGGGAATCAGTTTCATCTCATTGTGTTAAGTAAGTTTGACTTGTGTTCTTTTGCATAAAACACAAAGGTTGTGAGCATTTATACCATAAAGAATTAACAAGCTTAGGAGGGTACAGCTCAGAGGTAGAGTGTGTGCTTAGCATGCACAAGGTCCTGGGTTCTATCCCCAGGATCTCCATTAAATAGATAGATAGATAGATAGATAGATAGATAGATAGATAGATAGGTAGGTAGATAGATAGGTAGGTAGATAGATAGATAGGTAGATAGATAGATAAACCTAATTACTTCCCCCAAAAAAATCTTAAGAAAGAAGAATTAACAAGCTTAAACACTTCAGATATATGATCATTCAGATTCTCAGTGTGTCTTTTTAATTATGAGGAAAACTGCTTGTTTAAAAATTCTGATGAGACTGCAGCGTGCTGACAGAAGCTGACATGAGCAGTCTCCACATCAGCACCGGGCACGTGGACAGCCCCAGTCTCCCCCGATGCTTCCCACAGTTGGCCTCGGCTTGAGCAGAGGGGTTTCGTCGTCCTATTGGCCCTCTGGGGATTGTCTACCAACAGATTTCTAAAAGGTTCAGATATTTTTGTCATAGGATATATTTAAACCTAATAGAAATACGTACCCTACAAAAACTGCTCGGCACTTTGCATTGTTTTGTTTTTGAGAGGAATCAGAAGACAGTAAAGGAAGAGTTAAGTTGGAGGAGCCTTCCTTTACGTTTAAAGACCTTACTGTGAATTTATGTACCCTTTTATGCACCATTGTAACTCCTTTGTGATTTAAAACATTGCCACAGTGCAACTTTATATTCCAGTTAAATGAGCAAATTAATAGAATTCAGTACCTGCTGAAGACTGTAAACCTGTCTTTGAATAGGTCAGACAGAAGAAGATCTGCTCCCTGGGGACTTTAGAAAATAAATGCAAAGGTTATCACAAATAAGAAAGCTTCTGATGCCACAGTAGTTGAATTCTATTTCAGGTTCTGTTTTTCTCCTATTTTTGAGCAGTGTTTACTGTGTCAACGGGTTGAATTTAAAGTGGGCTTTCATGGCCGATGGTCCGTTGATTTGACTTAAATCAGACTTTGACTGGAGCCAGTACCAAGCTTTTCCCTTCAGGCAGTTGCATCTCCTTAGCCTGTTGCTATTGAAACTTCCTTTCTAAAGCCTCAAATCAAAGGTTTCATATTCAATCATGTCTTCTAGGGACACAATTTCATCTGTTTTTTTACCTTCTTTTCAGTCAAAACTGCAGATCATTTAAGGATTGTTCTAATTTTTACAAATGAAGCCTTTTTAAAGGAGATAGAAAAAAATCATTTTTAAAACAACAGTGTTAGGTATGAGAGCAAACGTTGTACAATAATATGCCGAGCTTCTGCTTTCTTCGAACCTTCTAGTTGTGAAGGCCTCTCATCTGTATACACAGCTCACTGACTCAGCATCTGGTGAGCACGGACCCTGCCCAGCTGGTGCCCGTTGCATCCTGCCCGGGAAGCTTGATGTCTTGCCCCGAGTCTCTCAGGGTTAGCACTCGTAAGCTCAGAGCTTCTATGACTGAGAGGGTTCAGACTTGGCCCTGGATTACTGTGGCCCAAGGATACCGAGACATGGAGACTGGGGAAATTCTGGAATGAAGAAAAGGTGACCAGAGGCGTGGCAGCGTAGACCAACCACCCCGCTGCTTATCTGGGGTTCTGTACTTGTGACCTTGGCTTTAGCCTTTCTGAGTGAATAGGTTCATATCTAAAAAGTAAGGACTCTAATTTAGAAATGTAACTTACTCTTTTTCATGGAAGATTTTAAATTATGCCTGATATACCTTGTTGCACAGTAAACACACAATAGATATTCATTGAAAGACTGAATAAGGGTTGTAAGGCATTTTGAAAGTTAGTACTCTCTAGTTTAACCCACAAATGGGATTTTCTTTCTTCAGGGGCCCAAGATGTGTTGCTCGATTTGAATATATTGGCGACCAGAAGGACGAGTTAAGTTTCTCGGAGGGAGACGTTATTATTCTTAAGGAATATGTGAATGAAGAGTGGGCGAGAGGAGAACTTCGAGACAGAAGTGGGATCTTCCCCCTTAACTTTGTGGAGCTCATTGAGGGTCACCCCGCCTCTGGTGCACATGTGTTAAGTGAGTATAGGCAACACGGTTATCCTAATTCAAATAAACCAAATAAGAGGCTAATACTTAAACTGCTTAATAACCCAGACTGCCATCTTTTTTTAAGATAGAAGGAAAAATGACTTTGAGATGGTAATTGTCATTATTGGGGCAGTCTCTCAGAGAGCTGGTTTTGGTGTTTTGGGTAATTACAGTAGCTTCACATCAGAAATGGCAGACAAAGAATCATCGACTTCTAAACAGAAATGGCTTGTAGAGTATAACTTATGCGTATCCTCCTTCACTTTACAGTAAAGGAAGCAAACGCAGGAGGGTAATGCTCGGCAAAGTTACGTAACCAGATCATGGAGAGACTGATCTGGAGTCCCAGACTTTTCACACTCCCCCTACAGTTTCCTGTAATACTATATGGTCTTTACATCTGAAGTTTTCACCTTTTTTTTTTTTTTAACATAGGCACAAAGGTACCACCGAAGACCAAAAAAGAAGATGCTGGTGCAAATTCTCAGGTAGGCTGCTTGAATAGATAAGTATACTGAAAGCCAGGTTTCATCTCTGGGAGGACTATTAAAATCATAATTATCATAAGAAAATGTTATATATCATTTTTAATTCATGTAGCAAATGTTAGAAATAAATATATGAGTAATACCTCTGTTGCACATGGAACTCATTCAAATGATTTGGAAAGACATGCAAACCCCAATAAAAAACCAGGGAAAGAGGCATGATTGGAATATCCATAAAAGAGATAATAGTATCTTATAGATACTCACAGAAGTGGCTGATATGAAAAAGTTTGTAGCCTTACAGTAATCAGAGAAATGCCTTGTAAAGCAACAATGAAATGCCATCTAACATATTCAGTTAGCAGAGATTCAACACAGCTCTACTCTAAACAAGTAAATATAAGTATGTGAATATTTAAAAAGAGACAAAGTGCAGATTATTGTTACAATTATTTTGATTTCTCACCCTAAGAAAAGGAAGAAACATGAGACAAGATTTCAGTCACAAAGATGGTCTTAGTGGTATTATTATAACGGGAAAAAATGGGAAATAACCTAAATATGACCATTATTGGGAGAATGTTCTGAGGCTGCGAAAAGCTAGATTTATAAAGTGAATCTCATGTGAGGAAAACATAGTATGCGGAAATTGAATATATAGCATAAAAAGACTAGAAGGAAACGGCTGAAGTTAACATTCAGTTGCCCTTAGGTGGTAAGATTATAAGTGGGTGGCGTTTTTCTCACTCTTCCTACATTTCCAGATTTGCCAAATGTTTAAGAACATTTTATTTTTTTTAATAATGGGAGAGAGAGAAAAGTGGATTAAAATGCTCACACTGTATACATGACTTCAGAAGAACATGATTTAAACTGAATAGGAATGTGGGTGACTTCCATTGTTTTTTGTGACATGTTTAAAAGAATGAGCCTGATGGGGTCATTGTTTGTCAAAATGTCACTGGTAATTGGGCTGAGTGCCTCTCAATTCTTTCATCTCCACCCACTGATAAAGTCAAGCAGGAAAGAAAGTGGCTACAGTTCTCCAAAAGGAAATGTTCATGTGGTTGCCTGTTTTTCCTGGGACTGATAAGTACTGTTCTTCAGGTTGGCTGCTCAGGTGCAGGAGCAAGAGGGTAGGGTTGGGGTTTTTGCTTGCTTGGTTTTTCTTGTTTTTTAAGCCCTCGGTTGTTGAGAACTTAAGTCGTACCAGGCACTGTGCTAAGCATCCTACACGTGTTACCTCATTTGAGCAACCACAGCCCCTCTAAGATGAAGCTGAGGCTCCGAGCAGAGAAGCTTCTTGCCTAGTGTCAGCTGGGAGGTGGCAGAGCTGGATCCGGAGCACAGGCCCGTCTGGCCCCAAGCCTTTGCTCTGAGCATCATCCTCTTCTCCCTGCTTGAGCTTCTTGAATGTAGGGCTCTCATCCAACTTGACAGAGACACTTCTTCACAGGACAGAACCTTCTTCTGATGTGTTTGCAGTAAGAGCATTCTTGTTGGAGCATTCCATCATACTGGCCCACCGTATGTGGGTGGCTACCCCTCAGAGTTAACTGTGCCCCGACAGATTAAGTGTGACTTTACGAAGTCCTATGCTATGGAATCTGATAGCCTCTGAGTCTGGGAATTAATAGACTGCCCATTCTGATTCTCCCTAGTTTAGGTAAAGAAGAGCTTCACTGAAAATTACATACTTTGCCAGAATTTTTTCGTAGCGTCATAAACAGTATACATAAATATTGTAAGCATTTATCTAATTTTTTAATGTAACTAATGTCATAGATCATAATTAGGAAAAATCTTTACTTAAGCACTGTGTATTCCTTAAATTAAGCAGAAAAGTCACAAATTTAATCACATCTGTCATTTAGAATTATATCTTAAGAAAAAAGTTATTGGAAACTTTTATTTCTGGAACTTGATAGTGACATGAAGGATTGAGTGATTTAAAGAGGACTTCAGGCTTTGAAATCTTATAACCTCTTAGCTTTTTTCCCATCACTTTTTAAGCTTTGTAGAAATTAATTTCAAATAAAATTTTAAATTTCTTAACACACTTTTTTTTTCTTTTACTGTTTGAATGATCTTCAGTCATACTTTATTTTATTTTTATTATTTTTTTAAATTGCAGTATAGTCAGTTATAATGTTGTGTCAGTCTCTGCTGTACAGCACAATGTCTCACTCATGCATATACATACATATATTCATTTTCATATTCTTTTTCATAAAAGATTATAAGACATTGAACATAGTTCCCTATGCTATACAGAATAAATTTGTTTTTTATCTATTTTTATCTACAGTAGTTACTATTTGCAAGTTTCAAACTCCCAGATTTATCCCTTACCACCCCTTTTCTCCCAGTAACCATAAGATTTCTTAACACACTTCTGATTTGTAACAGGAGAACAGTCTCTCTGGAGAATGGTGCGAAGCTCTTCACAGTTTTACGGCAGAGACCAGTGATGACTTGTCCTTCAAGAGGGGAGACCGGATCCTGATCCTGGAGCGCGTGGACCCTGACTGGTACAAGGGAAGGCTGCGTGACAGGGAGGGCATCTTCCCTGCCATCTTCGTGCGGCCCTGCCCAGGTATGATGGCTGCAGGGAGGGCTCTTGCGCTCTAAGGGGAGCCCGAGACTTTGAAATGATGTAGATTTCTTTTCCCTCGGGCCAGGCTCAATTTACGTTGTTTGCCTACATTTGAAAGTTGATTTAGAAAGTTATGCAGACTTTCTTCATATAGGTTGTTGAAGTTATGGGGAAAAAGAGATTAAAAAATGCCTTCACTTGATAATGACTAATTTTGTCTTGTAAATATATTTTGTATAATTTTTTTCCTGCTAAGAGAACATCGTCATTTTTTTTTTTTGGTCAGTTAAATAAATCCAAACTTGATTGAAAATATTATGTCCTGAGAATAACAAAGGGGTTTCTTAAAATGTCTGATTTGTGTTTAGGTCCAATGTCTTTCTATATATTTGAATTTTTGGTGTCTTCACAGCTGATGCAAAAAGTACAGCTGCTTTTGCACCGAAGGGGAGGAAAGCCAAGGCCTTGTATGATTTCCATGGGGAGAACGAAGACGAGCTCTCCTTCAAGGTCAGAGTGTGTATCTTGTTGTAACTGCATTAAGCAGCTATACGTTTTGGAATGTCTTCCACTAAAGGGTGAACGTTTGGGTGGAGTATTGATCATTAGCCAAGAATGAACAGATCTCAGACTCTCATTCTAAAGGATGAGATTAGAGAAAGTGAATAGGATAAATATAAATTATCAGCAAGGCATTTAGGTACTCAAAGAAAACCTTATTGATATTGATAGCCCCACAATGGCCTAATGGGTCCTTATTCCTCTGCCTTGTAACATGTGATCCCATAATGTTGGAGTTTTCAGTGGTCGCCCTAGTAAAGGATGATTCTCTTCATGGCCTTTACAGCCTGCCACTGTCATGTCTGAAGTCACTGGAGAAATCAGGTGGCACCCACTACATTCAATTGGCCTCTGCAGCAGTGCCTCATAAGACACTGAAGTCCTGTCCACAAAGACACCAACTAGACTTCAGGGAAATGATCTCAAAAGGTTAAAGTACTTTGCAAAGGTTTTTTTAGAAGCCTAAAATTTCATCTTATGTCATGGAGGAAGTGCCTTTTTTTTTTTTTAAGTAAAAATAGAATAGTTCCATTATTCTGTTTCCATAGTCTGCAGTTAGACCGTGGTCAGGGGAAAGCATTCAGGGTAGTTGTTTGGGACTGTGCCAGAGGAAGGGAAGAAGGGAGGGTTCAGTAAGTCACTCCTGTCCGAAGAGCCTGTGTCAGACAGCGGGCAGTTCTCCATCACTGGAGGTACTGAGAGGCAGGGAAGCCATAGAAGGAATTAACCTATCGAGGAGTAACTGGACAAGATGAGACTTAAGACAGTGGGTACCTAGACAGGGTTTTCACCTGTCTACAACAAAATGAGGAAAACAGTGACACTGGGTATGTGCAGGCCTTAGGGGAGCTATGGAGAAGGGGAAGCATGCCAGCATATGTCGGTATAAGGTTTGCTAACTTCTATCTTGTGATGAGTTTTCCTTTCTTAGAATTTCTTCTGTCTTTTTCATATTAAAATATCATTCCTATTATAAAATATTGTTAGAAAATGGTAGGTATTTCTTTTACAAAATTATAATTGGTAACCCTGTATCAGTTTCTTTCTCTTTTTTTTTCAATTTCTTGGTCCATAAAAATCCAAATGTTTGGAAACTGTTGCCCTAGTCCTTCTGAATCATGAGAGTCAGTCAAAATTCGTTCCTTTTATCTTTACATGAAATGTTACTGTAAGTGAACACTGTGGATTCAGACTTTTTGGATATTATTTTGGCCTCCATTCAGGTTACATCAATAAAAATAACAGACTTCACAGTATCTTACAGAAAATATGTTGTCCTCATTTTACAAATGACTAACTGCAAGCAAGATAGTTCTTGAGTTTTTCGGTTAAAGGATTCTGTAGTGTTTTCAATATTGGTGATCATTAATATTTTATTAAATATACACAGAATATTAGTTGATAAAACATTTTTTAGATTGTCCTGGCCCTCAGAAGACTGACATGGTATGTACATGTGGTCCAGACCTAAGAAAAATCGTCTTAGTCAACGCTTATGTTATAATTTAGAAATTGGAAAGAACTTATTTATGACAGAAACTTTGATGCCAAAATTTTTACAGATTTTAGCAGAGTAAAGTAGATTAATGACATTTGATAGTCAGCGTATTCCCTTTCCGTTTTCCATTAAGAAAGGCCTTAAATCAAACCATTTTTCCAAATGGCAGTGTACAAAGGCTACAGATAAATCCATTTAGCCTGATAAAGATAGTCTTAAAAGTATCCAGGGTCATCTTGGACTATTATAGAATCTTAAACCCAGATTCTAAGAAATGGTTAGAAACCATAAAGAACAAAATAGTTTCAGGAAATAATTTTAAAAATTGTCTTCATCTGGTGAGTTATAATTCACACGTGAATAAGACACAGCCCCTTGGACTAACCTGATGGGGATAAATGAGTATTCTGAGTCAGGCTGAGGCTTTTTAAGACACAAAAGAATACAAATTTGATAATAAGGCGATGGAGGAGTGGAATAAACCAAATAGTAGAGGAGAATACCATTATGTGGAAGAATGAACACAGAGCACAAAATGCCAGGGATGCTGAGAAAAGGCAATTATAGTAAAAACCTTTCTAAGTGGAAAGGTCCACTGTGAAATGTGGTGACCACATCGCCCAGAGGCTAGCAGTACACACCCTGGAATCCCACCAGATTTGAATCCTGCCTCTGCCACTAACTAGACATGCGACACTGGCCAAGTCACTTGATCTCTCTGAGCTTCAGTTTCCTTTCCTTCAAAATAAGGTGATCTATAAAAATCTCTCTCTAACAGGGATGATGATAGTACCTACCTCAAAGTCTGCAGTATTGTTTTCACTGAGTTAATTCCCACAAAGTACATGGGAAAGGACGAGGCAGGCAGTAAGCACATGGCTCATGAGTGCTCATGCCTAAGTCTTTGCTTAAATGTCACTTTCAGTGGGCCCTCCCCTGACTGTCCCAGTGAGATGGCCACCTGTACTTGGTGTCCTCCTCTGCCAGCTTAGTGATTGGTCTCCCAACTCTGGAATAAGGTCTTAATTCATTGCTGAGTCCATAGTGCCTGGTATGGTGTCTGACACATAGTGGGTGCTCAATAAACAATTTAGATGGGAAAAACATTTATACATATATGTGATAACTGGTATTTCTATTTATGAAAGAATTTTAGATTAGTGATGACTGGTGAATTGGGGGACACAAAATACAACCAGGAAAATAAAAGTGCAGCAAGGGTGATGACAGCAAAGGAATGGGCTTTGAGGAGGAGAGGTGTACAAGCAAATGGCATCGTTGGGTATAGATCATCTTTGTGGTACATTGTTTAATCCTCTCGGCAAATCAAGATAAATGAGTTTATAAAGAGGAGAGCTACATACATCTCCAGGTGGGCTGCTTACCCTGCTGATCCTCAACAAAAACTAATAATTATTTCCAAATCTTGTCTTCTTACAGGCTGGAGACATAATAACAGATCTGGAATCTGTAGATGATGATTGGATGAGTGGAGAACTGATGGGAAGATCTGGAATATTTCCCAAAACCTACATTCAGTTTTTACAAGTCAGCTAAAGGTGAAGCGTGACTGTGTTCTTGGGCACAAGAACTCACTTGAACTATCACTTTGACTATCAGATATGTTTTTGCACTATTTTTTTAAACTGAAAGAAATATCTATGCTGTACATGGTATACTAGAATTTTCTGAGAGCAGAAAACATCTAGATTTTTTTAGTTAGCTTTCATTCACGGTAGAAACGTGCACATGGAAACCCATGAGCCAGTATTCTACCAACGAGAACATCCAGCAGGACTAGTAAGGCAGGCAGACCCTTCCCCCGGGGGAGCGTCTGGTGACGGGGCAGCCTGGGGACACTACAAGCAAAAGTTGCACAAGTAAATTAACCTTGCTTCTTCATTTATTACTTTAGTTTGAAAAGAGGATGTTTATTATTCTACGTGCTGTAACTATCAGGCCAGGGTTGGTAATCTAAATTTCATTTTTGATATTCAAATTAATTCTAACAGCTTGAGCACATTATCCTTATTGCCGGGGCAAAGTCTTGCTTCAGGACGGGTAGTTCATTGACTAGTGGGAGCCTTTGTGACACGTGGTGAGTCAGCTCGTGGTCACCAGATGCTCCTTATTACCAAGTGTTTCCCCTTTGTCCCAGATTTGAAAGGGGTTAAAATTTGATGTGTCTTAGTCAGAAGAACCAAAACCATCCTGAAATGCCTTGCTAATACAACTAACCCTCCCACATACCTGCAGTCCTTACTTCTTTCCTCTGTGTATGCTTTACGTTAACAGGGTTGTTATGAAGCACCTTTACTGAATCTGCAATCATTCTTTTGACAATTACTGGTACCCAAAGAAAAATTCATTTTCTTTGAGTTACCCCAGTAATATATAAAAGCTGTGTCTTGTTATAGTGGTACATTATAAATCACATATATTTCAGAATACAGAGCAACTCTTAAGATGGAAAACAATGCCAAACCCCCACAGCTCATTCTTCTCAATATAATCAGAGCAAAAAATAATTTGAGAATCTGAAGGCTGATAACTTTTGGGGGTATTTTTTTCCCCATCCCTGCACAGTTACTGGAGTAAATAAAAAACCACTTTCCTGCTATCCATTGTTATGCATTCCAGGCTTAAGATAAAAGTGGTTCTTTGTGAGACTGAATCAATTATAGTTTATGGGCTCAAGCCAAATAGATCGAAGACAATCTTCCAAACAGATCAATGGAATAGAATTTCATTGGAAATATAAAACATTCTCCCAACAATGTTCATGACTTTCTTCTATTTTTGAGAAGAGTTTCATATGCTGGGCCACTTTTTAGCTTTTGTTGTTGTTTCCATTGTCCAAAAACTTAGGCAGCAAGTCGTGAAACCATTTATGTGTATATGGTTACAATTGATTTTGGAGTATGGGAGCCGTTTTTCCTCCATGTTTTGGGTAAGGAAGACAGTATAAAGAAAACTCTTGTCAAATTTCACTCAAGAGTAAATTTCATGAGAAATGGAAGGCTTAAAGCATTATTCCCAACTAAATTCCTATTTGCAGCAAGCTTGTACAGCAGCAGGAAGGTAGGAAGTGGGGCATAGTGTCTGGAATAGGATGTGAGGTGTATTTCTTTGCCTGTATAATTTTAACATCTTTTATCACAGATAATGAAACGTAGCTTTATTGGAGAAAAATATTCCTCTTAAACTTTGGCCTCTGTCAGCAGAATGATAAGTGCAATAGTTGTAAATCTACTTGACACGATAATAAACTGAACTGAACTTTTCAAAGTCCTTTTCTCAAATGTGTTAGACTGAGGTTTTTGAGACTGGAGATGGTATCTTACCTTTATGCCTCCAGCCCTTTGCACCATATAGGCTCAGTAAAGGTTGTTTGGTTGTTTGGTTGGATGGATGGATGGATGGATGGATAACTTTCACATAATAGCGATCCTATCTTGGATCCAAGGTGATCCAATATCTCTCCTCTTTAATTTGACAAAAATCTTTATTGAAACAATACTTGCAGTTTTATGTATTTCACTCCATCGTGCTGCATTTTTTTTTTTTTTGCTTGCCATGTATTACCTAGTCAACTGACAAGAAGTCAAAACTGTAGCAGAGCATAAGTTTTCATGGGTACTTTCTTTTTCTGTATATTGACTGAACATGATTTTTATACTCAGTGAGTTTCATAGTGAAGAAATAGAAATGTATTCTTTTTCCTTTCAGGAATTTTAGTTGAAAATCTGGTATTGTTCATCCAAACCTCCTCAAACTAGACTCTCTGAATCCTTTTTCTTTGATGGACTTAAAACTAGAGAAGTCATTTAATGTTATTATTCTTACCCTTTTGAACACTGAAAGACCGCAGATTTCTTTAAAAGATGACCTAGCTTATATGGCTGGAGGGGTAATGTATATATCTGTCATTGAGCTCATGGAAGTCACAGATTTTGAATGCAGTCTGAAACATAATGAAAAAAAAATCAGTATATTTATCAAAATTTGTTGTTAGAACTGGCTTTTGAAAAAATGAAATATATTTTTCTATATGATTTGTTATATATCAGTACTCTTAACAATAATTGTTTAGTTTTTATTCAGCTTCTTAAGCTTAGATGAATATACCTAGAGAAATAGTGATGATACAGGCTAATTATCAGGGGATATTTGATATAATCATTAATAGTTTAGTCCTTTTAATTAATGTCAAAAGTACATGGACCATATGATTCATAATTCGGTGTCATTTTTGAATGCCATTAAATGAATCCTTAACAGTGATTTTTTTCAGAACTTAATAGGAAATAATTTTCTAACCTACTCCTTTTTACTTCACTGTAATTATAGAAGGGAAAAAATACAAAGCCTAACTCAGAACACCACCACCATCTAGGGGCGTTTCACCTAACTGCAGTCTCATCCTGTTAAACCACAGAAAGCCTATGGATCGAAGATCAACCTGCAGAGGTTGAATGGTTTGCCTGAGGTCATGCAGGTATGGCAGAGCCTAAAGCAAAAGACCCAGCTCTGCTGATTCCCAGTTCAGTACTTCTCTTTGTTGTGCTAAAGTGATACATTTCTCTTCAGCAGTTAAGTAGAATTGATTTGCTTTATTGGCCTGTAAAAATTGTAATTTCTTAGATATAATACTTACGGTTAGAACGAGTTGCAGAGGATAAAGTCCTGAATTTATTTATTTCAAGAAAAGACGATACATGCCTACCTTCTCAGTTTTATGTAGGCTGTTTATATTGATGTTTTCTAGAAACTCAAACATGGACTGCGCCAATGATGGGGATTCCTTTTTCTGTTTAGTATGAAATATTTGAATGCTTGAAACATCAGATCTTGAAAAGGTGTATCTAGGGCTGTGCCCTTGGCAACAGAAAAGCAATCTTAAACCTAGGTATTCATACACATATAGCACAAAACATTGTATTTTATTACTATTTTGGAGTCTAATAAAAAAGTTGTTAGAACTAATAAATGAATTCAGTAAAGTTGCAGGATACAAAATTAATATACAGAAATCTGTTGCATTTCTATACACTAATAATAATAACTATCAGGAAGAGAAATTAAGAAAACAATCCCATTTACAATTGCATCAAAAAGAATAAAATACCCAAGAATAAATCTAACCAAAGAGGTAGAAGACTTATACTCTGAAAATCCTAAGACATTGATGAAACAAATTGACAACACAAGTTTAAACATAGACCATGCCCATGGATTGGAAGAATTCATACTATTAAAATGACTGTACAACTCAAGACAATCTACAGATTCACTGCAATCTCTTATCAAAATACCAAAGGCATTTTTCACAGAGCTAGGACAAATAATTCTAAAATTTGTATGGAAACACAAAAAACCCTGAATAATCAAAACAATCTAAAGAAAGAACACACAAAGCTGGAGGTATCACACTCCCTGATTTCAAACTGTATTAGAAAGCTACAGTCATCAAAAAAGTATGTTAGTGGCACAAAAAAACAGGCATATAGATCAATGGAATAGAATAGAGAACCCAGAAATAAATCCACATTTATGTGCTCAATTAATCTATGACAAAGTAGGCATGACTATACAATGAGGAAAATACAGTATCTTCAGTGAATGGTAATGGGGAAAATGGACAGCTGCATGCAAAAGAATCAAACTGGACTACTTTCTCACACCATATACAAAAATAAATTCAAAATGGGTGAAAGATCTAAATGTAAGACCTGAAACCATAAAAGTCCTAGAAGAAAATATAGGCAGTATACTCTTTGACACTGATCTTAGCTATATTTTTTTGGATCTGTCTCCTCAGGCAAGGGTAACAAAAGCAAAAATAAATGGGACTACATCAAACTAAAAAAAAAAAAAGAAGAAGAAGAAGAAAACTTTTGCACAGCAAAGGAAACCATCAACAAAACAAAAAGGCAGCCTACTGAATAGAAGACATTTGCAAATAGTATATTTGATAATGGGTTAATATCCAAAATACACATATAACTCATACAATTCACCATCAAAAAAACATTTTTTAATGGACAGAGGATCTGAATAGACATTTTTACAAAGAAGACATACAGATGGCCAACAGACACATGAAAAGATGTTTAACATTGCTAATTACCAGGGAAGTACATATCAAAACCATAATAAGATACCACCTCACATCTGTCATAATAGCTATCATCAAAAAGACAACAAATAACAAGTATTGGGGATGTGGAGAGAAGAGAACCTTCATACATTGCTGGTGGGATTGTAAATTGATGTGGGCACTTTGGAAACAGTATGGAGTTTCCTCAAAATTTGAAAATAGACCTGTCATATGACCCAGCAGTTTCACTTCTGGGTATTACTAATTTGAAAAGATACATGCACACCAGTGTTCACTGCAGCATTTTTACAGTAACTAAGATAGGGAAGCAACGTAAGTGTCCATCAATAGATGAATGGCTAAAGATGTATATACATAACAATGGAATATTACTCAGCCATAAGTAAAATCTTGCCATTTGCAACATAGATCTGGAGGGTATTATGCTAAGGGAAATAAGTCAGAGATAAATATACGATCTCACTTATAAGTGGAATCTAAGAAACAAAACAAACAACAAAAACAGACTTATAGATACAGAGAACAAACTCTGTGGTTGCCAGAGGGATGGGGATGGGGAGGGTGCAGAATAGGTGAAGGGGGTAAAGGGTACATACCTCCAGTTATAAGGCAAATAAGCCATGAGGATGTAATATACAGCATAAGGAATATGGCCAATAATATTATGATAACTTTGGAGACAGATGGTTACTAGACTTATCATGGTGATCACTTCATAATGTATGCAAATGTCAAATCACTATGTAAAACATCTGAAACTAGCATATCAACTATATTTCAATTTTCTTAAAAAAGCATGTGTTCAGCCAGATTGAATAGTGTTGTTCTGTGATTCTGTACATTTGTACACGTTTGCATTTGAGAGCTATTGATGGCACCAGACCGACCATGTCTACGTGAGTTTCCTTGTTTTCATAGCACATGACAGAGATGACAAAGCCAGTAGCAAGTCAGACTGTTAACTGCAGCTGCCAGTTGATTCAGGTAGCAGTTTTGGATCAGGGTGGTGGTTCTCAACTGGGGGAAATTTTGCCCCACAGGGGACATTGGGCAATGTCTAGACATTTTTACTTGTCACAACTTGGGAAAGGTGCTACTGGCATCTGGTGGGTAGAGGCCAGCGGTTCTGCTAAATATCCCACAGTGAACAGGACAGTCCCTCACAGCTATGAATTATCCAGCGTAAAATATCAGTAGTCCTGAGGCTGAGATATGGTGATGTAGGGGAAGAGTGCAGTCATTAATACTTCCTTCCCTCCTGGGATCTAAGTTGTTTAGTTCCCAGGTGCCAGGCTTTTTGTCGTCCCTCTGCTGCCACAGAATTTGTAGATTTCACCTTTTCTTCAGTTATCCCTGCTTTCACCTAACCTTTTGTCCTGATTACCACCCAGGAGGCAGCCGAGATGATCCTTTTTTGGGGACTGCCATATTCTGTGACCCACCTACCTTAGTCAGGTCTGTAGAACAGGAAGAGGTGAGAGTGATAGTCAGAAACCTTTTTAGTGCTCAGCAGTGCTAGATGTCTGTGGATGGTAGGCAGCTGTGAAATAGCCACCAAATACTCACTATTGGCTCACTGCCAGGTGCCCTGGTGACAAAGTGCCCCATTGCTAGACTGCAAGTGGTCTGGAAAACTAAAGACATGTACATATGGTACATTAGTTTCAAGGGCTTTAATTGTGTGGCTGAAGTCAGTTGATGGGCCTAGAACAGCAACATCATAACCTAAAAATGTGTCCACAGTGCTGAGGCACCATCAGCCGCCCTGAGAGGTGACCAAAGGACTGATGTAGTCAGTCAGTAGTCAGTGTGATGATGGCCCCAGCTACCTCAGGGCAAATGGACCAACTTTTGGCAGGACTCACAGTCTGGCGTGCATGAGAAAGCTAGGGTCCCTTTGAGGCAGCAGCTATGCTTCAGGTAATGGGGTGGGAGACATGGTATTTCAAGAGTTGCTGAAGCTGGTGCATTTCAGAAAACACTATTTTTACTTGACCAGGAAGGTCTCTTTACTAAGAGATATACTGTCTCCAGCACCCAAAGCATCCAACAGGGAGTCAGGCTTCCTTTCGGTTGGAGGCAGGTCAAAGAGCAAAGAGGTGGCTGTTTTTCCTTGATTGCTAGAGATTAACCATTGTGAACCCACCCACACAGTCCCAAGGAGCTGCACGTGGTGAGCAGGCCCCTGAATTTTACTGGAGTTGACCAAACACCTCTGTTGGTAGAGGTGTGACAAAACCAGTCAAGGCCTGTCAAGACTGAGGATTCTGACTTGCCAACTAACAGGTCTGCCTGTACTGCGTATCTGAGACTATTCAAACTATTACCAAGACACATTTTATAAAGTTAATGGATTTTAAAGAAACAGAAAAAAATTCTTGGGCTTCTAGCCAAAACCAGAAAGTGACTTGTGAGGGAAAGAAAATTAGATTATCACCAGACTTTCATTAGCAATGCTTTATGCCAGAAAACAGCAGTATGTTTAAGATACTCAAGAGTTGAGGATTTTAGATCCAATAAAAGTGACTTTCAGGTATAAAGAAAATGACAAACTGTATTCAACATACAAGAATTCAGAAAGTGTCTTGCCACGAGAACTTCCTGAGGAATCAACCAGAGAACAAGCTTCAACCAGAATAACTGGAAAGCAATCAGCTTAAGGGCTGGAAGTGAGCATTAAGCGCACACACCTGTAGCAGTGAGACTACGCAAGGGCTGAGAGGGTGAGTATTAAGTTTGGCCATGTGCTCAAGCCATCTAAACACAGTACTGTAATAACTTAGTTGGCCATATGCCAAAAAAATTTTAAACTGTTCTCACTAATCATATTGGTGGTGGTGGTAGAGACTCATGCATATAATGTGGGATAATGATGGTATGTATATTCTGTCAGCCAATGTTGTCACTGAGAACTTTCTCACCTTTTCCAGCTTTTAGACGCCTGTCACTTCCCTCTGCCCGTGGCCCTTTCGTCCTCAAAGCTAGCAACGTTGGGCAGTCCTCCTCACATTACATTACCCCAGCCTCCTCTTCTCACACTCCCACACTTAAGAACTTGCACGATCACATCAGGCCCACCCACCCAGTCTAGGGTACTCTTCCCAGCAGTCCTTTCTCCTTTTCACATCACTCTTCAAGTCGACTAGTGGTGCTGCTTCATGCACATTCTAGACGCAAAAGCCAGTTTCAAGTTAAGTTTTGCTACCTGCTTCAGTCATGCTTTAACATAAATGTCTTCATCTTCAGTAATTCATTTCAAAGATTCAAAAGTTGTATCCCTGATTAAAAAAGTTTTCTTATGAAAGATCAAGGTAAACTTGTTCTAGGAATTTAGAGAAAGGCTATCTGTGAATACTTAGTATCTATGTTAAGTATGTAAGATACTTGGGGAACTTAGAATTGCCCTTTATAGTATTTATTAGATGGATGTTAACCACCTTCAAGTTGGCCTACGGGAAGGTAACTTGATTAAATCTATCATCAAACAGGCCAAACCATTTTTTAAAACTTAAACATTCTCTTTGGAAGTGTTATCAAATGAGCCCTTCTAAGAGAACCATACCAAGCCCGACTCAGAGATGTAGCAGATTAGAGCTTGACTAGCAAAATCATCTCACCAAATGATGTTGAGCATCAAGAAAATCACCACTTATGTAACTTAATTCCTGGTCCCCACCCTCAGTGACCACTCTATAGACCCAACTTCCACCTTAGAAAGCAAGCGTATTATTTGAGACCCAAATCTACAATACTGTTTATGGGGAAAACATTTACTTCATTGTGGGAAGTGAAGCATTTTGTATCTGTCATTTTGATAATTCTTAATATTTCACTCCATTATTCAACAAATATTGAACTTCAAGGCACTGGAGGGTTTAGCAGTGAACCCGACCAAAACAAAAAACTATCATCATGGAATTTCTCTAGTAGCCAAAAGTCAAACTATAGGGAGAGAAAAAAAACTGAAAGGTAGGGTTTTTAATAGGATGAACCATCAGCAAGGTCTACTGACTTAAGGTAGAAGAGAAGCTCTGGCCATCCAAGTGAAGAGTATTCCAAGCACAGGGAAACAAGTGCCAAAGCGCTCAGGTAAGAATGTACCTAGCTTATCCAGGGACAGCGAGGACAGTCTGGCTAAGAGTAAGGAAGTGGTAGTGACAGGTCAGAGGCAAGATCACATGGGACTTTTTGGGTGAACTGATCATCTATAATAAAATTCCACAAGGAGGGGGGGGACATGACAAAGAGAGACCATGAAGGTAACAACAATCCAGGTGGTAATGACTTGCTCCAAAGTGACAGCAGCTGCAGTAGTAAGAAATGGTTAAATTCCAGACGTATTTTGAATGAACTGTGGTCAAGGATGACTACAGAGGATTTTGGTCTAAAATAGAAGGGTGGGTAAAATTGTTGCATTCGGGAATACTATTTTAGACATGTTACATGCCTATGGTATCTAATGAAGATACCGAGCAGGCAGTTGGACAAGGAAGCCTGGAGTTCAAAGGTATAGACTAGAGAAGTAAGAATCTGGAAGTCAGTTTATTTAAAACCAAGAAATTAAATAGTATCGAGTATTGGTAAATGTTCAAGGACTAAGCCCTAGGGCTCTCCAACACTAAGGCCTCAAACGAACTAGTGAAGGACAGTTTGAGGTTAAATTCAATGTGAGAGGAACTTTGAGGTTAAATTCCAGAAGACAGGTAAAAACAGGAGAAAATCCACTGTCAAATGGCACTAGTAGAGGTCACATAAAATGAAGGCCAAGAAAGAACCACTCAACACAGCAAATCTGGCAGTTCTGATAGCAAGACTCCTTAGAGTGGTGTGGGAGGAAAAAAAGCCCAACTGCAACAGGTTCAAGAAAAGTAAATATGAGAAATATGGTTAAATCTTCTAGGGGGGTTGAGTCAGTGATACCTAGAAAGATAGAGGATGCCTGTATGCTTGATGGGACTGGTGGAAGAAAACTGACAAAGGTGAGAGTTGATGGACCCAAGAACTTGACAAGCCAAGAGAAGGGAGCTGACGATCATTGTCCCAGCGACAAGAAGAAAAGGCAGAAAATATGGACACAAGCAGATGGCAGTGTGAAAATAACAAGAATGTGATGTTCTCTTCTCATCCTTTCTCAAGAAATAAGGTTATCAGCTGACCTGAGCATGAGAAAAGTTCTCAGGGTAGAGGGGATATAAAACAGAATGGGTGGGTGACTAGGAGCAAACACTGGAGAGTGGGCAGCATTAAATGCCCACTTAATAGGAGACCAATAACCCATTTCTCTTTCTCTGTCAAGTTCAGCTTGACCATGAAGGTGTACAGTGGGATATTAACAGCAAGAGGAAAAAAGACAGCACAGTTTTTACACACACAAAGAAACAAAAACTTAAAATGCCAATGAGCTCTTCCCTTTCCATTACAGTCTAATACACTGGTTCACAAAGTATGGTCCGTGGCCGTCAGCATCACCTGCAAATTTGTTTTAAAAATTTCACACCCCACCCTAGAACTATTAAATTGGAAACTGGGGGCAGGCCCCTGCAACACTTAAATAATCCTTCCAAATGACTTGAGAACCACCTTAAAAACTTAAGCCATGTTAAAAAAAGGGTTTCCTTTTATTAACCATCTATAACACTTCCAGATCATTCTAGCTTAAAATAGATCATTACATTTTCCTCAGCTACTGAGTAACCCAAGCAATGAATAAAATCCACACAAAAGGTCAGAAAAGGTCATGTTACCTTCGAATCAGACATCTGATTCCACAAACTGTCAGATGATCAAAAGAGAATTGTCAGAAATAAAACATCACAAATAAAATCTTTTATTTGTCACCATTAAAAGTCTGCATTTTAAACAGATTCTTGGACTGGCGGCTCATATCCATCAGCTCGTTCAACTTTAGCACCTGTCTCATCCCCAGTAGCTTTTCCAGAACTACTCCCTTCACCATGTAGCTCCATGAGTTTTCCCACTAAAAGGAAAAAATAATTGTTAATTACAGCAAACCATGTACCTTGAAACAGTGATCTTCAATCCTATGTAGCATGACAGGGAAAAAAAGGACCAGTGTGTTCGTACACACAATTTTTTCTTTCAGGAACCCCATGACCTCTCACTTACATTCAAACTTGGGCTTCTTCAGCATTTTTACTTTTCTAACAAAGACATCATGGAGTGGATAAATAGATTGGCAAGCCTTTTCTATGTCTTTTCCAATGCTGTCTGGAATCCTGTAAATTAGTAATGGTAGATTAGAATAATTTGAAGGTTAAATGATCTGAATTATACAGCTAGTCAGTAACAAAATTATCACTTGAGACTTCTGAGACCAAGCCTTATGGCTTTTCCATTACACCCATCTTAGCCAACTGCATGGGAACATCAGAAAAATGTTAACAGTTTTATCATCAGACATCATCTGGGACCGAAACATTTTGTCATCACTTATTCCCATACATTACTAATCGTGAAGGGTTTATCTATTCAGTGTATTTTTTCTAATTAAGGCAAAAACAAGGCGCTTCAAGTCGCACTAAGTTCCAGGAGAGCTTCATCTAAAAAAAAGATAAACCATCAAATAACTGAACATTTAACATGCTTTCATTTCAAGAGATGCAGCTAGATGGTTTCACAGACAATTTAAACACGAGTCTGACCTCACTTTGTCTCATGCTTTCTCTCATCTGAGGGTTGCATTACTTACAATTTATTGACCACCTCTTTCAAGTCATTTGTCTGCACCTCTCGGGTCATGATTTCCATCATCTTCTTCCGGATTTGGCGGACCTGTTGGTGCTGGGCATAAGAGGTCTTCCGAATCTGATTGTTGCGTTTTTTAGTAAAACCCACACAGAATAGACGAAGCAAATAGCCATCGGTAGTCTTGACATCAACGTGAGCTTCAATCATGGTCTAGTGAAAAAAAGATACTGCCAGGTATACCAGGATTTAATGTTATCAACTTTATCCCTCAAATTCTAATTTAAAAATAGGCTGGAAGGTCAAGTAGTCAATACACAGTATTAAGGATGATCATATAAATGACTATTTACAGAATTTGCCTCCTTGAAGTGAACTCACCAAGCTATCCCAAATTCTTACTATCTGTCATATCTAAATAAATACTGAGACCTCTCAGCAGTCTTCCCTCCTCTCTGGGTGACTTCTCTATTCCTATCCCTATCTCAATAGCTCCCACCCTTTTACATATACATGCCTTATACAGACACATGCCGACCTGCTCCTCCCCCAATCCCTTAACTGTGAAAGATGAAATAAAAATAGGTTCTAAGAGACGCTCATTTTGGCATATACACCTATTCCATCTTTTTAGAAAAAGGTGTTCTAAGTAGTTGAAATACTAAAGCCATGCTGAGGATTAAATATTCAATTTCACAGCTAAAGTACAATTTTTAGAAATCCCTAATTAATCTTCTTACTACCTAAATTCAAAAACCGAAACTATCTGTAGCAACAAAAATTGAAACGCCATCTTTGCATTTTGTAAATTTTATACCTTAGCTTAAGAAATGAATATAATACAATTATAGTGAAAGGGCCTTAAAATATTTCCAGAAATGCAACTATAAAACCTTAGGGGAATGTCAGAAATAAATGTAACGGTACAATCAGTATGTATCATTTGGGACCGAAACATTCTGTCATCATTCATTCCCACATACAAAACACCCCCAAACTCGATGGTTAGTCAGAAACATCTAAACCAAGTATTTCCTGCAGTAATACTAACATGTACTAAATGCTTTTTGTATCAAGTACTGTACTAAGCATGTTTACGTGAATCTTTTATTTCATCCTCTTAACTCCATGAGTAATACTCTTACCTACATTTTACAGGTAAAGAAACCAGGGCTTAGCAAGCTTTAAGTTACTTTCCAAAGAGAACATAATTGGGAAAAGGAGCCAAGACTTCAATCTCACACCAGAGGCTCTATTACTCCTATTGTAGCACAATAATCAAAACTAACCCAATCCATGCTTTCCCTATAAAATTCTCTAGATTTTGAGGTCCAGAGGTATTCTGCAGGCAAAGCTAAAACTGCAAACCTGCACCGAGACGTTCTTCAACCAGCCACTAATCCATGCAGCAAAAAAGCTTCGCTGATAACCCAATACTAAAGCTAGAACTCAATTTAAACAGCTTCACTGCTGTTGCTCAAGTCCAAGAGTGTCAATCCCAGAGTCCACTAACAGCAAGAAAACATCAAGAACTTGAAATCTAAACCTCAACTGCACAGCAAGCACCCTCCTGACATTAAAACATAACATCTTCGATCACACGCACCACAGCACCATGCACGCTAAAGGATTTCTGTTCTCACCTGCCATTTTTTGACCATGGAGCACATTTTGTCACGGGTAAGATCCATGCCATGGAAATTAGTCAGACAGTTTTTGCCCTGAACATCCTCAGTAATTAGCTTGAATTTTCTAAACGCAACTTCATCATTCTGCAGATCAGCAAGGCTCACTTCAAAAACACGACCCTTGAGGCCATCAGATGCAATTTCTATAAAACAAGAATCAATTGTGTTATTATAAACCACATAAGCAAAGTCAAATCAGCAAAGATAATGCTCGTGCATTAAGCTTAGAAAATTAATGGTAAGTTATAAAAACCTTAACTTTTGTTAAACAAATTGATATGTACACCAATGACTAACAGTGCTTATCAGAAGCTCAAATTAATGCACATTTTACTAGTAATTATAAAAACAGCACCTTGCTTCTACAAGTGGTGTACGAAAAACAAGCCCCAAAGGGGCTGAGGCTTCAAACAAAAGCTGACATTTCTTTCATGTATCCCACTGCAGAATCAACAGACCATACATACAGGTCTCAATTAAAAAAAAAATACAAAGAATAAGATACTCACTGGTTCCTTGCGTTCTCGTGACTAGTGTTTTTCCAACATTTCTTATATTGAACATAGCTGGTGCTTTCACGTCATACCAATCTTTCTTAGAAAATGGATCAACCCTGGATTTTAAAAAATGCGTTAAGTTTGAGGGCAGATCGCGTTATTTTTAACTTCCCCCATCTTAATTACTTTAAATAGCAAACTGGAATGTAGACATTGGTGAAAACTAGTCCTCTTAGTGAGGGGAGCGGCGCATAGGTAAATCTAGCTCATCCCACTGTATTTCACACTGTGCAGATCTGACACCTCGGTAAATACGTCATGACACCGAAGTACTCTTCACCCCATCGGTCCTTCCACACCAGCAGCAATGCCTCCAAACAACGTGCACATCTCTTCAACTTTACTGGTACGTGAGGACACACACTGGCATCCCGGGCTCTTCGGGGTCTCGTGCTAGCCTACTAGGACCTCCCGTGTCCCACCCGGCCTAAGCAGCGGAGGAGTACAGGGTTCCGTGTGGACAAGAAAAGCGCCTCTCACATCTCCAGCTCCTGGGGTGGCATCAATTACCCGTGCAATTTACGAGACCCGTGAGCCCACAACACGGAACACGCTAGTCTTGAGTCGCGGGGGCAATCAGACTCAAAAGAGGTGCGACTAAGGCCCAGAAAGCCAAGGGGAGAGCACCCGGTCTGCCGCAAGGCAGCACCCAGATCCGCCAGGCCGCGGTTCGGGGTTTACCGACCCGGCACGGCCCGCGCAATCCAACCAACATCCTCGCCATCCGGCTCACACCGCGGCCCAGAACCCGCCCGCCGACTCCAACAGCGCCCCAAAGAGCAGGGGCCACAAACAGTCACCACTTACACTTTCTTCTTGGCTCCCTTTTTGCCGCCTTTCGTCAGGCGCTTGTTCTTGCCAACCGCCATGGTGCTGCTCAGGGAGCCAAAAGGGCGGAAGTGTATCTCGCGCGAGAACTTAGGCGTTCGGAGCCGGACGCGCCGTCTACGTGACCTTCGATCTTACGTTCTTCCGGCCTCACGAATATCGCGACAACAGAGAGAGGCACGCCTCCGACTGTAGCTGCGACAGCGCCCTCACGTGTGGGGAGGCTGCGCAGCAACCTGCCGGCCTCTGGCCGGGAGGCCGCGCTTGAGAGGCGCAGCTGAGGTGGTTTCTGCGACTCTGACGCCCGGAAGTAAATTTCCGCGGAAGAGGACGCGCACTCGACGTCCTTCGAAGCCGAACTTACCGTCTCACTTTCGCGCCTGTTTCTTCTCAAAAGCGTGGGATTTGGGACAAGACAGCGAGTCTAGGTTCATATGCTAGTTTCAGTAATATTTAGCCTCGTGACCTGTCAGTGCTTCAGTTTCCGTATCTGAAATGGAGGCAGTAATGTGTTCTATCTCGTAAGATTGTTAGCAGGATTCAGTCAGTTTAACTGAGGGGATGCTGGTCATGTTCTGCTTGTTGATACGGGCGCTGGTTAGCGGGGCACGTTCGCTTTGTGAACACCCGTCAAGCTGTGCACTTAATTTGTGTACTTTTCGATAAATGTCTTATACATTGATTAAAAAGGGGTTTTGGTTTTGTTTTTTTAATGGAATGAGTTCTACTCACTGTTTCCCTGAGGGACTAGGGCTCCCGTGTTGCCAGATACTTTGATTTTTCAAGAAAAGATGTTTTGTTTTTTCAATTGCAGAGGATAACGAAATACACATCCCAAATAGCGGTGGCCTGCTGGCTTCAAGTGTGCAGTCCCTGGAATGCTGGCCCACACAGGCATGGTACTCAGACAGTGGTATGTTGAGTTTCCTTCTCCAACTTCCCCTCTGGGGAAAAACCCTGTACCTGAGCCAGAAACCTGCTCCCACAAGCCTTGAAGTCCTTCCAAGCCTCCAGCCCTTACATCCGACTACCCTCACTTTCTAAAACAATCCTAAATCTCCAGCCCTGTCCTGAAATCTTTCAAGACTTCCATTAATCTCAGTTGTTTGCAGGATCAAGTCAAAGGTCTTATTTCACGACAATGTAATTACACCAAACACTAGTACTGAACTGTTCACTGAAAAACGGTTAAAGTGGTACATTTTATGGTATGTATATTTTATCACAATTATATTTTTTAAAACTGGAAGTCCTAAGCTGAGCCCACAAAACCCTTTTTATCTCGAGTTCCTCACCTCCGTTTACATCCTCACCATATCTCAGTCTTTAGTGGATGCCTCAACTCTGGTCGTTTAGAACTATGTAAAATTCCTTGGACTAGGTTTTCTCTTATCTCCATTCCTTTTCCCTCATCAGCAGGCAAATAACTGCATTTTCAAGACAACTCAGCTTCATTTCTTCTTTCACTAAGAGATTGATTCCGCAGACAAACAGGATTTCCCTCAGACCTGCTCCCAGAAGACCTGGCACTACTTTACTTGTTAGAACTATTGATTCAGCGTGTCTCTTTCTTACTGTAAGGAGGGCACACAATGCAGTCATTTTCCTATTTGTGCTCTTTTTTTTAGCACCTGGTGGGCCGTCAAAATATCTGTTGGATGAATAAGTAATAGTAGACAACGTTGGTGGTGTTCCCAGTCTTTTGAACTTTGTAGGTCAGCCCATATTTTTCACAATAATTTTGGGAACCAACGTGACTGCAAGTTTAAAATTCCACCAATCTATAAAACAAAACCAAAAACAACTGCCATTTTCTATCGGCATCATTTCATTTTAAAATATTATTTTGACTCCCAAAATTTAAAAAGACATATCCTTTGAAAAGACAGCCCTTTTAATTTAAATCAGTGTTATGAAAAATTCTATAGACCTTACATTGTTTGTCTCATCGCAGATTAGTGAATACTAGTGACCAGTGGAAATCAGTTAGTCCTTCCAAATGTAATATATATATATTTATTTTTTAAGAATAGAAAGGAGTTTATTAGGAGTACACTGTCATGGGCAACAACAAGCCACACAGGTGAGGGGTGCCTGTGTGAGCCCTTACAAATATAATACTGAGTCTAGTAAACTCTGTATTGATTCTATGCCTATAGTAACCTTGACTAAGTTAACCTAGATAGCAGTTCACTAGCTTAAAATTTTCCCAATGGAAAATGTTATAGACCGCCCAGGCTACCTACTCTAGAATGAAAACTAAGCTTGCATTCTTCCTAGTCTGACGCCTATTTCTGCCCAAGAATGAAAGCCACCCGGGAGGCATTATTGAAGTCAACTGCATCTAGTTTATTCTGGAGACATCAGCACCTAAGGGATTTGTCAGAGGTATGGATTTCACTCTTCAAATTTGTATTGTAATGAAAGCTTTTAAAATAAAATTATATTTCCCTGACACGTTAAATGATGCAATCATCAGTTTTAGTTAAATTAAATGAAAAGACAGCATGGGAGGTATGAAATCAGTTTATTGGGTCTCAACCATCTAAGAATCTCAAAATTCAGATAGAATAAAATGGAAGAGAAAAATATCAGAATACAGCAAACCTAGTAAGGTGTCAATATTATTTTATTAATTTTCTTTCCATCTGTGACTCATCTATTAAATCTATCCAGTGATTTTTTTTGAATTTTGAATACTGTTGTTTATTTCTGAAAGTTCTATTTAGTTCTTTTTCAGTTTTTGCCACCTAAAAATTTTTTTATTGATATAACATTGGTTTATAATGTTGTATATGTTTCATGTGTTCAATTTATGTCATTTTGTAGTTCCTTATTCTTTCAGACATCCTCAATATAGATGTAAACCCAGGAAGCATAATTGTGATTGGCATCTGAAGT